ATTAACCGTGCCAACGTGTACGTTGGTTTCCAGGTGCAACTGGATCTTACTGGTATCTTCTTGCACGGCAAGATTCCCACCTTGAAGATTTCGTTGATTCAGATCTTCCGTGCCCACTTGTGGCAGAAGATTCACGAGTCTGTCGTCATGGATCTGTGTCAAGTCTTCGACCAGGAGCTTCAACAGCTGGGTATCGAAACAGTCCAGAAGGAGACCATCCACCCGCGTAAGTCGTACAAGATGAACAGCTCTTGCGCAGATATCTTGCTTTTCGCGACGAACAAGTGGAACGTCACCCGTCCTTCCGTGCTGTTCGATACAAAGGACGTCTACGAGCCAACCACCACGAACAAATTCTGGCTTGATGTGCAGTTGAGATACGGTGACTACGACTCCCACGACATTGAAAGATATGTCCGTGCCAAGTATCTCGACTACACCACCGATAGCATGAGTATCTATCCTTCTGCCACCGGTTTGATGATTGGTATTGACCTTGCGTACAACCTGTATTCGGCTTATGGCCAGTACTTCCCTGGTCTGAAGACCTTGGTTCAGCAAGCCATGGCTAAGGTCATGAAGGCAAACCCTGCCTTGTATGTGCTGAGAGAACGTATCAGGAAGGGTCTGCAGCTCTATGCCTCCGAAAGCAACCAGGAGTTCCTGAACTCCCAGAACTACTCGGAGCTGTTCAGCCCGCAGATCCAACTGTTCATTGACGATACCAATGTCTACCGTGTCACCATCCACAAGACCTTCGAAGGTAACCTTACGACCAAGCCCATCAACGGTGCCATCTTCATCTTCAACCCCAGAACTGGACAACTGTTCTTGAAGATCATTCACACCAGTGTCTGGGCAGGACAGAAGCGTTTGGGTCAGTTGGCCAAGTGGAAGACGGCAGAAGAAGTGGCGGCCCTCATCCGGTCCTTGCCTGTTGAAGAACAGCCTAAGCAGCTGATTGTCACCCGCAAGGGTCTGTTGGATCCGTTGGAAGTTCACCTGCTGGATTTCCCTAATATTTCTATTCGTGCTTCCGAGCTTCAGCTTCCTTTCCAGGCTGCGATGAAGGTTGAGAAGCTTGCGGATATGATTCTTCGGGCAACGGAGCCTCAGATGGTTCTCTTCAACCTTTACGATGAGTGGCTGAAGTCCATTTCGCCTTACATCGCTTTCTCCCGTTTGATTCTTATCCTGAGAGCTCTTCATGTCAACATCGACAAGGCAAAGATTATTCTCAGGCCCGACAAGAGTGTTATCACTCAGGAGCATCATATCTGGCCCTCGCTGTCGGATGAAGATTGGATGAAGGTTGAAGTGCAGCTGCGTGATCTGATTCTCAACGACTATGGCAAGAAGAACAATGTCAACGTCCAGAGTCTGACCAGCAGTGAAGTCCGCGATATCATTCTGGGTATGGAGATCAGTGCGCCTTCTCTGCAACGACAGCAGGCGGCCGAGATCGAAAAGCAGCAGGAGGAACAGAAGCAGCTCACGGCTGTTACAACAAAGACGCAGAACGTCCGTGGTGAGGACATCATTGTCACTACCACATCTCAGTATGAGCAGCAGTCATTTGCCTCCAAGACTGAGTGGCGTACACGGGCAATTGCAACATCCAACCTCCGCACGAGAGCGAACAACATCTACATCTCGTCAGATGAAGTCCGAGACGAGGGATACACCTACATCATGCCGAAGAACGTTCTCAAGCGATTCATCACGATTGCCGACCTCCGCGTGCAGGTTGCTGGTTACCTGTACGGTACTTCCCCTCCTGATAACGACCAGGTGAAGGAAATTCGCACCATTGTCATGATCCCTCAGGTTGGCAATACACGTGAAGTTCAATTGCCTCAGCAGCTGCCTCAGCACGATTATCTCAACAACCTCGAGCCTCTGGGTGTTATTCACACCATCTCTGGAAATGAGCCCCCTTACATGACGGCCATGGATGTTACACAGCATTCTCGTTTGATGAATGCCCACTCATCGTGGGACAAGAAGACGGTGACCATGACGGTGTCTTTCACCCCTGGATCCGTGTCTCTGGCGGCATGGGGCCTTACGCCCCAGGGCTACAAGTGGGGAGCGGAGAATAGGGATACCACCTCGGATCAACCGCAAGGGTTCTCGACCAGCATGGGAGAGAAGTGCCAGTTGTTGCTCAGTGACAAGATCCGGGGATACTTCCTGGTGCCGGAAGACAATGTCTGGAACTACAGCTTTATGGGCAGCTCCTTTGGTAGCGTGGACAAGCGGCCGGTGTACGTCAAGATCGACACCCCGCTGAAATTCTACGACGACCAGCATCGTCCACTGCACTTCCAGAACTTTGCGGAACTGGAAGATATCTGGGTTGACCGTTCTGATAACTTTGCGTGAGCGACGAAGGGATGGCGTTGGACGACTTGTTTCGATATGATTTATTACGTCGTTGTTTCTGTGGTTCCCCCTTTTGAGCCTTTTCTGCTTTCCCCAATTTTTTCACTTTAATGTAGGTAGCATACAAAATCCTCTCATGTGTTTTACTATGATTTTTTTCTTTTTTCATCATCCTATTATTATTGATTGATGCTTGGCGGCAAGCGAGGGATGATGATCCAGGCAATGCAGGCGAGATGGAGCTCCAGTGGAGGGGATGTACAGTAGAACAGGAGGTAGCGATGTAGGTTTTACTATAGTAGATGCTAATCACTCAAAACGGTAATTGGTTGAGCCTGCAATGCAATGGATCCCACCATGTGTATGGATTATGGAGTACTCCGGATGGAGAATTATCTAGTGTGATGCAAATATTCCCGCCTTAAGAGTTAGGGGATCGACCATGTGGGTGTGTGAAGGAGAGCTAAGCCGGCCGGAGGAGACGGTCAAGCACCATGATCCATCCGCGCAATATGGGCACCATGTGTGAGTCCACTTTCGACAGTAGGTTAATCATGTTAATGGCCTAGCAGTCATTTAGTAACAAATTACAAGATGCTTAACGTTGTCGGGGGGAGTTGGTTGACGTGTGTTGGGGGGCCTGGGGGGATCAGCCCTTCCTGGAACTTGACCGAGCCTGGGCTGGGGAGGGGGAAAGGATTGTTGCGACTTGGTGAGTTTTCCCTAGTGCTCCTGACTTGTTTGTTCCCCCCCCCCTCCCTCTTCCCTCCTCCCCTCTCCCCTCCCCATTATTCATCCCACCACTGACCACTCACCACACTCACTACTCTCGCTTTCTCCGTGCCGTGCACGGCTGCTGCTAAAAACGCCTCCCCCCCCCTGCTTCACTTCCTCCTCCACGCCATTCTTTCCGGCTGGATCCGAGGCATTTGCAACGGTCTGGCCAACGCACTGGCTGGCTGGGCCATCTAAGACATTCTCCTCAGGTTCATTTCGTTTTTGCAGTGGTTTAATGGTTTAATGCAATGTGATCACCTGTGCTGTTTCACCAGTGCCTCATAGACTCAAATCTCGGGACGAAAGTCAAAAATCAGACCCGTCGGGATAACTCGCCCTGGGCTGCAAGATACGATGGCGGATGGGATCCACCGGTCACCAATCCAGTCCGGAGTACGGAGTACACGCCTAGTTGAGACTACTACTTCTACGCCAGCCAGTCTGAGAGGGGTCTGGTCTTACATGTTGTGTATAAGCAGCTCCCATGATTGTTTAGGATCATGATGCTCATTGACCAAGGCGGAAATAGGATTTGGGGCGGGCGTGTGCGCAAAAGCCTCATCAAATAGTAACCTTTTCCCTAGCCAACTGCCGTGGCTTTCTCTCTCCGGCTCTCGGGGCCTCTTCCCAAGTCTCGCGGACTTCAGATGAAAGGATTAGACAAATGACAATCATGACACCCACCATACACATACGCGCTAAGCTCCCGGCCTCCGACCGTTCTCGGGGGCTTGTCCACGAGCTTGGTGATGACCGGCTAGAGTCCGTCCTCGAGCAAATAAGGTTGACAGGAAGCTCTCATCAAAAAAGGGCAAACTTGCTCCTTTGGCTTTGACGGCCGCTAATCACAGGCAGACAAGGGACATGGCTTCCTTGTCTAGTTCGACTCAGGACCAAACCAACCACCAAGGGGGGGCGCAGCTCAGAAAAAAAAAAGTGAATCCAAAAAAAAAAATAAATAAATAAAATAAAAAAGTGAGGCCAGGCAAAAAGGGGAAATACAGACGTGGGTACGGGTTTTTAGGCTCGAGCCTGACCCGCGACCTTTTTCTTGCGCGAGATAGTCTTACTTAGTCGACGGGAACGAACCACCGCGCATCTCGATGAGGTGAGGTGAGTTGCTTGCAGTGTGCCTTTCTTAACTTTCACGCTGCTGCTGCTGCTGTTGTTGGTTGAGCTCCCGCGCCCGTTCCAGGCTACGGGATTTTATATAGGTACTAGTACACTATCTACGGAGTACGGAGTACTATCTATCCAGACCCGACCAGACCAGACCCGACCAGGGTCGTTGCTCCATCAATCATCATCCCCTCGAGTAAAGAAGGGCTCGGCCGGAACTCCCTGCTTAGCAGGAAATGGCCCACCTCCGAGCAAACTAGCTCCCTCCCGCTAGTCATTCCCAATCACCTTTCTCAGGTGGATGTCTCGCCGACGACGGTTCTCTATCCGCCATTGGCGTTTCGTTGGGTGGAGTTGCTGCGACGACGTACGACGGTCCTTGTTCTGACAGGGGGCGAATTATTCCTGAGCGAGTTAGGAGCAGTCCAGCAGTCCAGCACAACAGGTTTGACTCCCCTTGACCCGAATCCACCGACTCGCTCAGCTCCTCCACGTTCGTATCCAATAAGTTAACTTCAGATTATGCCGGGCCTACGTACCTATCATAATATGGCTTGGGCTTGGGCTTGGATCCCCTCCTCCCCCCGCTTCTGGGCTGGTTGGGGAGTAGAGCCCCGAGGGAGGGCGTGATGAGATGGATGGATGGATGGCTGATGGCTGGTGGCTGGAGGACCAGTCTTTGTCTCCTCCCACTGGGCTGTTTCATGCTGTAGCTCGAGCTATCTCCCGGCTGCTGCCCTAATTTCCTCCTCCACGGCAGTCACTGCCATGCCTTGGCAAGCACCAGACGGGCCGGCGGAAGGCAAATGGTAGCCTCATCCTTCGTCCTGCTGGCATCCATGACCGTTGTCCCCTCTGGGTCCCTCTGCAAGCTAAGCTTGACTGGAACGCAGATCCGTCAAATGGGGGATTTCTCTGGCCAGCCCACCTGCACCTTTCTGATTTGGGCCGTATGGAGTATCTCCGTGTCTCGTCAATTTTACCCCAAGGCCGCTCTGCTTTATTTTATTATTATTTGCCCTTTCCAGAACCTTTCCTCGACCGTTCCGCGCTGCCGTATATATCCTCTACCCTATCACTGCACGGGACTTTTACGTGCAGCTGGAAGCAGCATCCCGGCATCACCTCCACTTGTTCTTCCCCATTGATCCTGCATCTCAAACGACGGAGGAATACGGGCTGCAAGCCTATCTGCGGAGTCTCTGGCATGAGCATCAGACCTCCGACCTCCCTCTGTAGATCTGGTTGGGCCGGGCCTCTCGTCGGTGCGTCTGGACTTTGGTGAAGATTACCGGTCTTTTTCGGGCTTTCCAGCTGGTGTGCTCACCACTGACCCCGGTGAGTAGTACTAGTAACCCATCCATCCCTTTCGCCCAGTGGTTTTCTTTTCTCATGGTGGCCAGACCCTGCGTCACCTCTAGCTCTCTCTGCCGCTTCCTTTCAAATGAGTTCGATGTACTGCGACCTGACCTTGCTACTCTCTTCCTTCCTTCTCCTTGGGATGAGCCATCACCGTGTCCTAACGTTGCTGTCGAGTCGTCCGATTCATGACCTATAGTTCTGACGACCAAATAGTTGTCGCGCCTAACGCCTTGAAGTCGACCCTCCATCACCATCATCCAGTCTCGTACATGGCCAAAGCCTCGACTCTTGCTTCAATCTAGAGGATTTCACGACCATCTGCACGTTCGGACGGACGCCGACAAGCATTTGTACTATCTCTTGACGAGCTTTGTCCGTCGAGATAGTAACCTCAACCTCATCCCTTTCTCTTCTTTTTAGAGCGAGTCGGTAGCCTGCCAGGGCTTTTAGGCTCTAGCGGCGCAGATGTATGTCCGCGACGCTGGCGGATCCGTATCGAGAGTATGCTATTGATTATTCTCAACATGCTACCTGCAAGCCCGAGGAGCATGCGGGCACGCTTGTTTACCACACACAGCAGCCGCACCTGCAACATCACAAGCAAACCGACACTCCGTTCTCGCAGGGAGCCTCTCATAGCACGACGGCATTTGAGCAGCATCATGCAAACGCGACCGTACTGTCAGCAGCAGCTCCTCAGCCCACAGTTCATGAACTCTCACAGAGTGTTGTCCTCGGCCCGCCACAGATGCTCTCGCGACACCTTCCAGTGCAGTATCCGCCCGCCAGCTTCGAAATTCCCCCTATCCAGCGCGACAAAAAACGTCCGCATTCGGAGACAGAAGACGACGGGAACCCCGACCATGGGCTCCGGCCACAGTTGTCAGTACTCTCAGCAGACGCGCCCCATGAACCCTCGCATTCGCCCGAGATGCTCTTCTCTGTCCACGGCGCGTCGTCTCAGCAACATCACATGTCAAACCATGGGTTTGGGCCCACAGACTCTGTGGCTCTGCCACAACACCACCACCACCATCGACTCCCGCCCCATGCGGCGCTGCGCGCCCCTGGGCGTCATGGAATGAATGTGGAATCGCCTCCTTTGCCTTCAGGCCCGCCAAGTGTTGTGGGCCAACCTGGAATGCCTGAACCTGCTCCCAGGCCTCGAGGACCGAAACTGAAGTTCACGCCCGAAGAAGATGCTCTTCTCGTGGAGTTGAAAGAGAACAAGAACTTGACGTGGAAGCAAATTGCAGATTTCTTTCCGGGGCGGACAAGTGGCACCTTACAAGTTCGATATTGCACCAAACTCAAGGCCAAGGACGTGGCTTGGAGCGATGATATGGTTCTGTTCCTCCCATTACTTCTACATTGAGTTTATATGCTAATAGCGGAAATAGGTACAAAGGCTGCAACGGGCAATCCAGGAGTATGAGAACGATCGGTGGCGGATAATTGCAGGAAAGGTCGGCAATGGCTTCACCCCAGCGGCTTGTCGCGAGAAAGCGATGCAGCTCCAGTGACGGGGCGGTGGAGACGAATATATAAAGAGGCCTCTAATATTGCCTGCTGGCAGCGTCTGATTTCCATGCTTAGATTGTTGGAGGACATGTCGTGGGTAGGCTGGTTGTGCAGGCTTGTAGGAACGGGACGCTGATCACCATAATTGTGCTTCTATAACGGACGGTCGATGTAAGGTATTTAGTGGTGTATGATAATTCGATTAGCCCCGGGGGGAGGGATATGCACCGGCATCTGTTCGTTCGCAGTGAACTGACACTAGCGTCCGCTAGAGCACCGGCTCGTGTCGCGGCCTGATCCATCCCGGCCTGAACGGCGTGATTGCGGCCATCGCTCGGTCGGAGGGAGGCCATTGGCTACGGTGGACGGCAATGACCCCGCGCGCAACCTGTCCGCCAGCCCTGAACCCTAAGCCAGGTTCCCAATCGAGCAGTCTGCGGATATGGTCGCTGCGGGCGGCCGGAGAAGCTCCGCAACCAATCAACCCACAGCGCTGACTAAGGGGGGTCGACCACGGGCCGAAGCGGCTTCAAACTCACCTCAACCTCCAAACTCCCTCATTTCCAACGTCCTCGCCTTGTCTGCCGTCATTGCATCAACCCACCAGGACAATGTTCCTCCAACGCACAGCCTTCGCCCTCGCCAGGCGCACCCCTACCCGGGCCATCGCTGCTCGCCCTTTTTCCTCCTCCGTCAGCCGCTGTACGTGACCCTCATCGTCAGTTCAAGACCGCCTCTTTTGCACCCAGCAGTGGCAGCCGTCCTCTTCCTTCCGCGCCCCCCCATGGCCTCGACGTGGGTCAATTGCACGGGAATATAGGCATTCGTCCTGGATATGCGAGCTAACATGCTATTGCTATGTGTACAGTCAACAAGAAGTATGAGGTGAAACAGGAGGGCAAGATCCTTCCTTTCGAAGGTTGGTGGCCTCACCCATCCTTACCCGAGCGTCCATTGTCCCTACGGATACTCTAGCAGGATGCAGTTGTCGCTTGTAGCGCGAGTGGATGTTGCAATTGGGGGTCGATTGTGGGGCTTTGGCGGCTGGGATATGTGACAGCGGGCCTGACAAGGCCTCGACCTGATTTACATCAAACTGATTGTGCGCTTTCTTCCTGAACAGAGATCAAGACCGAAGACGACCTCATCCCCCCGGGTGCTAAGGCCGGTACCGTCCCCATCGATATCGAGCACGCCACCGGTCTCGAGCGTCTGGAACTTGTCGGAAAGATGCAGGGCATTGATATCTTCGACATGAGACCCCTCGATGCCTCCCGCAAGGGTACGTTGTGCTCTCTCTCTACTCTACTCGGTGTCTCCTGGAGCCTCCATGATAAAGGATCATCTGAGACTCGATTTCCCCGGACGAAGCTGACCCCAGATTCGCAGGAACCCTTGAGGACCCCATCATTGTCCCCGGTGCCGGTGACGAGCAGTACGCTGGTTGCACTGGTTTCCCCGCCGACTCTCACCAGGTCAACTGGCTGACCGTAAGCGATGTTCCGAGCGATTGATCGAGATAGCATGATCCTAACCAGCCACAATGCAGGTCTCCCGTGACCGCCCCATCGAGCGCTGCGGCGAGTGCGGCAACGTTGTCAAGCTCAACTACGTTGGCCCCTTGGAGGACCCCCACGCCCGTGAGTGCCTTGCCTTTTCTTTCGCCTAAATTCAAGTCCGTCCCTGCCCGGTTTACTAACCGCTACATTCTAGACGACCACGGCCACGAGCACGGTCACCCCCCTCACGAGGAGCCCAAGACCTTCGCCGACTTCGTCAAGCCTGAGTACTGGTACCGGTAAATATAATTTACTACTACAATAAATGGAGCGATTGTTCTTTCCTTTTTCCATCTAGTTGCTACTTTGATCCGGAGCAAAGAAATCAGTGAAGTCAAAAGACAATCCGACATATATGTATGTGTACATGTTCATGCGCGCGAGGCGGGAGTTTTAAGATGAGAGCGAGTGAGAGAGAGAGAGAGGTTCTGTACAAGAGATGACATTTTTCCTTTCATCAGGATAAGCTAGTTTGTATCGTTCATGAAACCAATACCGTTGTATCCATCCATCCCTCCTCTCCCGTTTATCTATCATGATGCTTCATTGAAGTGATGATATCACCGCTCGGTCATTCCTCTCCTCCCCTCTTAAAACTCCTACTTCCACAAGACATTCTCACTCCATCATCATAATCTACTATATACCATCGATCCCTAATACACCAAACCACCATAAACCAATTCCCCATTAAAAGATAACCCGTCCAACGACTCCTTCCTATTCAGGCATCAGGTAATCAACCCAACCGAACCGAACCAAACCGAACCAAACCAAACCAAGCTAGAAAACCCAACTACTAGATAGATACGAAGCATATGATAAAAAATCCCTGTGGCTTGAACAACAAAGACACCGTGGTGAGCTGATACAAAACAATGTGGGCAGGTCGGGTGGGTGGCATGATGCCCGGAACAGCGGAACAGCGGAACTAAGCGGGAACGGAAGGATTTGGCTGGCTGGCTGGACGGATGATGAATCGGTATCACGTGGTTGGTTGGTTGATTTTCCGTACGGAGGGAAGGGCATATGGTATCCTTTTTAGGTAGATACGGAGTAAGTGGTAGCCTGATAGATAGATAGATAGATAGGGCATGCCTAGATGGGAAAGGGAAGGGGAGGTATGGAACTGCTGACTGACTGACTGGGTTAGCTTGTTTTGGACTTTGGAGCGTGGTTACTAACTGATTAGTACCGGTCTGTCTCTGGCCAGTGGTCGGTGGTGAGATGGAATGGAGTATTTTGGTTTTGGGGGGATTTGTTGAGGGTGTTGTGTTTGGTCGAGATCTATTGTTAGAAGTGTACTTGGGTTAGGTGTACTATTATGAGGAGTTTAGTTTTGTAGTATGCGGATATATATTCTAGTGCTCTTGCTCTTGCTCTTGCTCTCTGTTCGCATGTGACACGAGGAAGATGTAGTATGTCATCTGGGCTAAATGTACACTTTACAAATCTCTGTGGAGAGGGGAGTTTCCTTGTTCTTCGGTGGATCAATTAAGCACTCAATAAGAGTACTACATTTCACTCCGATGGGGTTGCAACAGGCTGCATGTAACTGGTATCCCTCTTACCGTCCAAAGTAACGAAGTTCGACGTACCGAAGTGGCGGATAAACCAGGCATGTCCATGAAAAACCGACATAGGTGCCCATCTAGACGCGGTTAGTTGAAAGCAGACCGAATTTTTATATTGCTTCACTTACATCTGCGCCATATGCACCCACCAACCGTGCAAGAGGTCCAATGTACCACACCTGCGCCATGCACAAAATGGAGCCAGCCCAACCGATCAAGAAGGCAATGAAAGCGGCAATTCCCACGGGTAACTTGGACGGATCATTCCAGGCGTTCCAGTTGTATCCGCTGCGGGCGCGGAAAATGAACCGATCCTCCAGAATAATTGCTATCCAGATCGCGACCCAGTAGCCCATGAGCGCAAGGAAGTTGGTGAAGATGTCGGAGAGGTTGCTTCGGCCGACCAAGGCGCACACGGTGTAAATAATCACTCCAATGGCATTCCAGATCGCTCTAGGCACCTTTTCTGCGTACCGTCCGAGGATCTGGAAATCGACACCAGCGGAATAGGTGGGTGGGATGGTGTTTGCGATGAGACCAAGAGCGACGACTACGGAACAGAACTTTCCAAATCCGTTGAGCGGACTGAACCCTTCGACGATGAGTGCACCAGCGCCGTTGGCGTATGCTTGACTATACGCTGGGTCCGAGGTCATGCCCGATGCGAGTCCGATACCGCACAGGAATGCCATGGTGAAAGACATCATCAGGCCACCCAAGGAGAGGAAGAAGAGCGACGTCTTCGAGGTCTGTTGAGGATAGTAGACAAAGAAGTCTGCTGCCAGCGGTGCATATGTAATCGCGGCACTGAGGCAAAGGGAGAAGAAGGACAGGCTGCGAGCATATGGCACATCAGCATGGGTCGTCTAATGACAAAAGGCAGACTTACCGGTTCCCAGCTACTGTGCGAGCGTCACCCGTAGATGGCGTGGACAGGTCATACTTCGTCCCCGACATACCAAATAGGATGCAAACGACAATAAGCTGAGGGAGGAAGGCAAAGCTGATCTCGTCAGTACCAGAATTCACAACTCAAGCCAGTTACACGCACCGTTCATAGTAATGGAAGATCTGAATACCAAATGTGGCGATGACCCAACTGATAATAGCGATAATCACAATACCTTATCTTCATCAATAACCACCGAATGAAAGCGCCGTGATCTACCAACTTACCAACAGCAACTGACATGTGCCCATGTGGTGAAACGGCGGACAAGAGCTGCCCACCAACAACACAGTCGATCAAGCCATATCCCAGCATTTGGATCAGGTTCAATATGACGATGAGCTTGCTCGGCCACCAGCCCATTGAATAGCGACCGAATGCCTGACATGTGTTAAAACTAGGTCATAACCTCACTAGGGGTGCATATGATGGCTTACCATGGTTCGAATACCGGATAGGGGACCCCATGTTGCCATCCATGAGGACACTACGGCACCGACTAGAGCTCCAAATACTCCGCAGAGTGCCGAGTCGAGGAAACTAAGTCCGTAGGTAGCAGGTCCTAGCATGCCCAGTGTGATGTTGTTGGCCGCCAAATTGATCGAGACCCAAAGCAAGAAAGCCTGCAAATAGGAAACCCAGGTCAACTTGGGCATCCGTTCATGCTCCCCCACCCGCTCTATACCACGGGCCTCTAGGTTGTACTCGACGAGCTGTGCTTCGAACCGCCGAAGATATGCAGCCATCCGCGAAGAGACAAATGGCCCACCCGGAGACCTGACATTTTTCTCTTCGCCATCTCCTGCAAAGAAAGCGGGATCTTCTCTCGAACGAATCCTTGTAATTTCCTTTTCAGTGGGTTGCCCTAGGGCGGGGACTGATTGCGGCGAAGACATCCTAACACAGTCTGTCAGTATACAACCGGAGAAGCGGGAGGTAGAAAGAAAAGAAAGCGCGCATGAGTCCTTTCGCTGGAATTATCCAGATCAAGTTCAACCGTATAATCTCAGAACGACAACGGTAGTCATCACATTATCTGGGGGACAAGCGCCACCGGCAAACAAGAGGGTGAGAAGTCCCCGATAGTGTGTGACGTACGGTTGTTGAACACCGGTCTTCATGCAGGCAGGCTACCTAGATACCTTGATCGACAGACAAAACCACGCTACTCGTCTTCATGATAGCCGTCCCTTGCATTAGGTTTCTGTGAGAAGGCGGGAGAGCTGTACTGGAAGGAAAACCGGCTTGTTCCGATTGCAATGGATTCGTCGTGGCGATTAGACCTTGACCTGGTGGAACAAACGCCAGTCGCACGTCAGTTAAATTTCCTCTTTCAGAGATTTGTGGCGAGTCGTCTTCTCGCAGGGAATTACCAAGTTCGCCTGATACAAATTATTATGCCGATGGCAGAACCCCAATTGCAGTACCGCAGAATAATGTGTTGACGGCTGTGAACAGGATATGAGGGAAAGTGGAGGAGCGGGGGAGAAGATTCCACTTCTGAGTCAATAAAATAAAAATGTAATCGGCGGCCGGGGGGGGGGGGGGGAATTTAATCGGTCCAGGCGGGCGGACTCCCCCCCTCCGCGCGCCTTCCCGAACTTCGGCTCCCGTCCACTATCTACTCCGTACGCCGTACTCTACTGCGACTAGCCAGATCTACCGGCAATCAAAGTCAATTCAGCAATGCGTCATCGTACTGATGGCCATTCAGCTCTGGGACACCGAGAGCACAGGTTCTACTAACCCCCCTCCCCCATTCTATAGAAGAATTGAAACCTTCAGCAAGCTCCAATGCATCGTTGCAGGCGCAGCAGGGTGGTGGCCACCGCGGCGCGGAGCTGCTGTCAAGACCCCCAGAGACTTACGCGTAAGAGATTGGTATTCACCAACAGATATAAGAAGACGAGGAACAATGAGAGACATCAACCATGGAAGGCGCAAGTGAGACGGTCAATGAGAAGGAAAGGGAGCAAAAGAAATTACATATGAAAGACGCAAGCCAACTCCGATAACCCTTCGCCCAATACTTTGCAAATTGTAGCTAACATCACACATTGCCGTGAAAACCGAAGCCCAAAGCAATGTAAACCCATAACTCGTGCCCGTCGTCGATTCGTGAATGTGTGGAAGACGATGCATTGGTCATCACGTCGTCAATACTTCGTGGGAAATCTAGAGATCCTTGAAATGTTCTTTCGCATACTGTTCGCACGCCTGGTTCTCTACGTCAGCAGCCCAGATATCTGTAGATTCCAGAGAGCGTACCTTGGCTGGCTTCCCGACTTTCTGCCCAATTACCTTCCATTTACTTGCCTCATATTCCTTGATCGCTTCCCGAAGCGCTATAGACTGCACTGAATTTAGTATCGATTTACAAATAGAGCCAGACGTTGAAAGCCGTTACCTCATCTTCCGCAAATTCAGCATAGTGCATGTCCTATCATGGCATCAGTGGTTTTTTCGTCGGGTGGAATAGCTACCGTTAACTGCTCACCTTGTACCAATGCTTTTTGACGCTGCCCTCGGTCCGGGTAGGAAATGTCTGTAGCACCCGGGATTCCCAAGTCAGCATACTCTGTGGTCGGGGTCCTGGAACGGGGCATTTGATGCACCTTGGCAATCTCGCTCCAGCTGCGACCCGCATCGCGCATCGTCTTCAGCCTCTGCTCTTCCTCGGCAGTCCAGGGAGTATTGGTCCTTCCCTTCTTCTTAGGTACAGGCTCCGATACTCCAGACGCTTGCTCGTGCGCGGTGTCTCCGGTGGCGGTGGTCGCGCCTGGCGCCGCCATGGTCGGCGTCGAGCTTACCGAGGGAGAAGCACGGCGTTTGCGCGGATTCTGGGGAGGAATCTGGGGTTGGGGCATAGGAATGCCCTCGAAAGAAGGCACTCTAGAAAAGGGATTCACTTGCTGCTGGGCTAGCAGGTGTGATGGTGCGTTGGTAGAGATGGAGGTCTTGATTCGCTTAGATGTTGGAGGGGACCTGTTGTAGAGGGACAGGCGAAAGGCGCCGGGGTTAGAGACGCAACCAACACACGAGGAAAAAGGAAGGGGGAGATAAGGTCAAAGTGAATGCAAGGCCAGAAACGATAATCGCAAATAATAATAGAACGAGCCAGTCACTTTGCCAATCGCAATGAAAAGGAAGGGCAGGACAGGGCAAAACCGGGAACTGATCGGAAAAGGAATAGATACAAGGTCGAGGGCAGATAAATTAAAATAGAAAATCCCGGTAAAGCACATGACCCAAACAAGAAGTATCTCGGACAGGTATATATATGGAAAAACAAGTGCCGCCGACACTGCGCAGCCCCAGAGACCAGCTTCCTCCAGGCTGGGGAGGACGAGGAGGGACTTACGACATGGTTGACGATACGCAGTTTTCCCAATCACGCTCCGTCGATTCATCTGTAGATACACATGCTTATGAGATTAGCAAATCTGCTACTCAAGGAACGCTCCGTGTAGATTGGCCTGTCAGGTTCAGGGAAGCGAGCGCTGGGTTACACCAAAGTGACGATGACACCGGCGCATCATACGGCGTGGCAGTAGCGCCGCAGGGAGGGAGGTAGACGGCAGGAAAGGAAGGAAAAAGTCGGAAGAATTGTTACATGCATATATAAAGGTTGTTTGTAGCGAGAAACTGGAGGAGAGGAGAAAGGGAATGGGAGTAACTTTGGTGGAAAGGTGAGGAGAAAGAGGAGGCAAGAGGAGGCGATAGGGAGGGGGGAAGGGAAGGGAAAGAGAGGGGAGAGGAGAGGGGAGGAGGGGAGGGGAGGAGGGGAGGGGAGGGGAACCAAAGGGACCAGAGAGAATGGCAAGTATAAACAGGTTTAGGCACAGTCACAAGAAGACCTTTCTAGCATCTTAGGATACAGAGGCTGGAAATAGTACGGAGGAGTACTGGAGTTGCGATGATAAGACGTTCTGGTCAGGACAAGTGGAGATGGAGACTGACAGAGAGTGTAAAGAGAGGCTTACTGGTCAAAGTTCATGGTTCGAAATTCGATGAGTCTCGGGTTTTTTCTGATAGGCAGGGGGGGAGATGGTATTGTAGTAAGTAGTAGTAGCAGTAGTAGCAGCAGTAGTAAGAGTAGTAGGTAGTGAGTAGTAGCAGCAGTAGTAGTAGCAGCAGTAGTCAGTAAGTGGGAAGTAGATCGGATCGATTGGTAGGGCAAGATTCAACCAGGTAGGTTCACAGTAAGTCAGTAGTCGACTCGAGTTCGGTCGTTCGGGAGTCAGTCGGAGCAGTGGTTGTAGTAAGAGTCCTGGACTGGCAGGCCCGGAAATTCAATCGCAGTACTTCCAGGGCTTCCTTCTTCTTCTTTACGAAATGGGAATGAAACGGGGGGAAACGGTGGTTCGGTTGATAGTACACAGGACTAAGGGAAGGGAAGGAAAGGAAGGGAAGGAAAGGATCCAGGAAGAAGTAAATTTACCAACGCGAGAAGGGAAAGAAAGGAACAAGAGAAGGAAAGAAGGCAGCGGATGGGAAGGTCGAGCGCCGGCCGGAAATTGGCAGACTGACAGACGGACAGGACAGTGACTACTACTACTGCGGAGGGGAGCGAATGCAAATCGAATCCACCTCAAGGCTAAACAGATTGCAGCGTCACCAATCCCGCGTCCTCCGACGGGTGTTTGCTTTTTCCTCCTCAGCAGCAGCGAGGAGGAATAATAATTACTGCCGCCTCCTCCGGCCTCCTACTCGTCCTTTGCACCGGAACTACTGGAGACGGGTTCTGCACACCATCCATGATAGCCCCGTCCTTTTCCCAAACCAGAACCCTGCCGGAATAGAATTATGGATTTTATGGAAGGATGGCCCGGTGGGTTCGTTTCCACTCGCGCCGATTACTATCTCGATTACTCTTCCCCTCTCCCCTCCACTCTTATCCCCCCTCCAAATCCTGGGTCAATGCGATAGATACGATACACACCACACCCGGATATCCACTGACTTCGGAACAATAATCACCACATACCACATATGCCCGACGAGGCCAGATGGGATGGATATTATTCACCAGTACCCTATCCTTGTATTCCCACCCCCCGACTGGCTTTTCCTGTTTCCATTTTCTCCCGACCGATGACTCAACGGTGATTGTTCACTGTCATTAGGCTTCCATTTCCAAAAGCCAGCTCTCGCACACATCATCCGCCACTGAATCCAGGCGAGAATGCCTGTTCCGCGAACGAAAGAAAGGGCGATGATGATGGTGGCGGCAATCTGACCATAGTACTCGCCGTCTTCGGGCTACTTTGCCAGGCCAACCCGGTGATGCTGCAGTGTCGAGTAGAGCCAAGCAGGTTGGCGAGGCCAGTGAGGGGCCTAGACATCCCGATGACTGTGAGGCCGCTTACAACATGAAACGAAAATCACCATCTGCAATCTCGGGCCTTGGCAGTCCAGAGGTGAAGTAAAAAGCAAACCTCGAGGGTCCATGGGTCCGGATCGCTGCTGTTTACGTGGGTGCCAGGTTCTCTTTTCCTCCCAATGAGATGGCATGACGGGAAACAATGGGAGCGGGGTAAAGCACCGCTACCTTCCCCTCTCCATCCGCCGTTGCTCTAGTCTATACCCGCTCCGTATGATCGGTGCAGGGCTTGCCGGATCCATGATGCAAGATCGGCTGCTCTTCAAATCCAATCATTCACCCCCCATGGCCAGGTCGGCGGCTTGCCACCAGAAACAGCCTCACGCGTTCATCTTTCACCTCTCAAGTACCTTATCTGCACCCTAGGCCGCTTTGAAAGGTTCTAGGAAGGTCCGTGAACCGTTGTATGGATCCCTGTGTGTCCGTTTCGAGCACGGTCCTCTCGGCGCGCCTATCATGCCGATGACATAGCCTACTGTCCTGTTCACCATCCTCGCCATCCTCTGCTTTGCAGGCTGATTGTTGATGGGCTCCCTCTTCTGACAAGGAGTGTTCCGGTGACAGGGTAAGTGTCTCGTAATGCCTGTAGTTTAATAAACTACTGATGTAACGGAAGGGAGGCAAAGAATTGAAATGCCCCCTGTCTCAATGGGTCTGGCATGTGATTCAAGATGCAAGACTTACCCAATTTCCGGCGTTGATGTACACGTGGTGAAGTCCCAGCAATCTACTATGTCATTATGCAGGTGTGTACAGAATTGTAATCAGCCGAGCATCCTTGGAGAACAAGTCTCTACCTCATGTCTCGTGAATGAGTATAGGTAGCACTTCTTTGAGCAACCCCCAGTACTGAGGATCTTTCCTTTCCATGGCCAAGTACATACATTCACGTGCAGCTGGACACAGAAAATGTGTTTCAATGGCTCCGCATTCGAGAATGAAATATCCCCGCCAAGGTCCCTCTAGTGCATTCAGGGCTTGGTAATAGACTTTTTCTAGAAGGGTGTTACTTCTTCACTAGCCGCACAAGGAGTGGGTCAGAGGAAATTAGATCTCTGGCACTGGCCCATCTATATCTACTAATAGCTTCCGCTGATGCTTGCTTCCATCTGGAAGTCAAGTGTCCACTAACAGGACCTTAGCATGAGATGACCAAACTTCATGCCATGGATCCATCTCAAGTCTTCTGTATCATGTACTCCGGAAGAAGTCGGCATCAGGTTTTGCCTCGGATTTTACTCAAAGACCCCGCCAGTACCACTGAATCCCTCTTGCTGTGCTCATAAGAGAATCAGATTGATGCTTTAGACAACAGTTTCGCTCGACTGCTGGGACTGCACCTTGGCAACAACACCCAACACCCAATCCGTCACCAGCTTTGGCTTGCTGATAAACGGGCAATGGCCCGCTTTGATACTTGTCACATCAACCTTTCGTTCACTCTCCCTCTCGACCATGGCCATTGATGCTTTCTGTAATGTGGCTGGAATACACAAATCATCTTCACTCAAGAGCCACGAGACAGGAATGTCCTTGTACCCAACATGAGTCAATTCACTTGGAAATGCAGAGGCAGAGTGGCGTGTGAGTTTCCTTGCCCACATTTCACCTTCTTCCCTTGGCAGGTCTGAGAAACCAAGGGCGGCAGATAACGCGATGTCCGAGTGATGTAGCCAACCGTCCTTGTTTCCAAGTGAGTTAGCATAGGGAAGTCAGATGGAGACAACACAAAAGGCAAACAAACATCAGCCTTCAATACCACCATCTGTCCCTTTGGTGGTGCATCGGAATCCAACAAAACGCTGGCATCCGACGCTCCCAAGGGCAACACGAGGCAGTTCATATACGCCAGCTGTACAATCCCGCCTTTCATTCCCTGCTCCTGCCTCTTAGCCTTCCCTAGACCTTTGGTGCTCTGCGTTGCTGGGATACCCCCATAGGAGTGTGCAATGAGTACCACGTCCCTGCCTTGATCTGCGAGATTGGTAACTTCTGAGGCGATAAACGCGGCGTCATCTTCCATGCACGGTGGCACCGTTACCCCGCTTTTGTATCCCACACTCGGAAGATGCAGCGCGCGGATCGAGTAGCCTTGAGCTGCTACCGCATTAACGACAGCATCATATTGCTCTGGTGGAGCAAAGGCTCCTGGAATGACGAGTATTGTCGGCTTCTCTGACATGATATAGGAAGGAAGGATCGACTTTTAACAAGCTACAGGGAGGTCGATTGAACGGTCTTATAATTCATGCAATCGGGCCGGCGCAACCATTTCCCTGACCAATATGGCCTAACCGCGACAATCCTATACTTTCATGAGTTGTTTTTTCTGAGCTAGAGATCGTCAACAGCGGTGAAGACCGGAACGCTGCAGGAATGATAATTTTCCTACTTGGGAACATCCATGGCGATCCGCCAAAGTGGACTTCACGTCGATGGCAGATTTTAAGGAGCCACAAAGAGCGTGAGGTAGATGCTAAGATCGCATTCTCCGATCCCGTCTTTGCAGAGGTCGTGTGTGATAGAGGTGGCGTCAATCGTCAACTATTGACAAGCACGGCCATGAAGAGGGCGATGCCATGCCGGCGCGCTTTCATCTTAAGTCACAGACTGGTTAGTTGATTGCTAAGACCTTTCTTCGAGAGCCCATGAAATGCACCTGGCGTATTTCTACTTTGTAGATTCGCAGGGGGCGTCTTGACGTCACCAAAAATAGCAGTCGCACAGATATCACGTGATGCACACGCGGCACGGGACCACCCCAGCTGCAGGTGGATCCCGCTGGTGACGGTGAGCGCAGGCGCTCCCTTGGTTGAGACCAGATAAGGCGACGCGGCCATTGCAGGTCCATGACTATTAGACCGCTCATCACTACTACATCAACTCTTGTCGTGGCATCTCTTCTCAGCCTCTCTAAACACCCGTCATCGCGTTGACAGCATCCTCTTGTTCATACATTGAACAACAACCTACGTTACCCGACCGGGGTCTCTGGGTAGATTAACGGGGCACGGTCCACATACAAGGACCATCTCTCACAAACTTGCTAGACTATCTTGATGGTATTCTAGGTGTGGGTTGCAGGTCAATTCCACTGCGCAAGTGACGAGACGAACTGTCCATATATATACACACACGCGACTAAAGATGCTGAATCTCAATGTCTTTCGGCTATTGGCCGATCTCTCCCATATCTCTTCGAAATGCGTCTTGATATGGGCCATTCATCGAAATAAAAGCGCAGAAGGTTCGTGTGGTAGTATTTGCCATTGAGGTGTTCTACATACTAAGCCGCCGTGTCACATACAGGAGTCTCGCTGCTCACGCAGATGCTCTATGCCTTGGTTTTCGTGACTCGATATCTCGATTTGTTCTCGAAGGCTGGATGGACGCACTTCTATCTTGTGTTCTTCAAGCTTTTCTACATCGCCTCCTCGTTCTACGTTATATACCTTATGATGAGAGTGTTCCCTCGAACACGGGAAAGGGAGCGAGCATGGAAACTGGCTATAATCTCCGTCGCTCTGTCTCTGGTTTTGGCTCCCATATCCATCGCCGTATTTTATCGTGGTTATCCCCCAAAGTGGTTTATAGAGGTGAGTTTGGTTACCAAGTCAACTAGTTTGGGCATGCTAATGAGACTGGAATGATACGATAGACTTGCTGGGCTTTCTCTATTGTTCTAGAATCCGTTTGTGTCCTCCCTCAATTGTTGCTCCTGCGTCAGACCACCGTTCCGACCGTCATCGATTCATACTACCTGGTTATGTTGGGCTCGTACCGTGCCTTCTATATTCTTAATTGGCTTGTGCGGGGACTCGGCTCCGAGGGCCATTGGGATGTGATCGCAGATGTCTACGGTGTCATCCAGACCGCTTTTTACATCGACTTTGCCTGGGTTTACTACTCTCGCCAGCGCGTGAAACTCAGAAACGGAGGTGTCGTTGACTCGGAAGACTTCCGTAGCAGCTGGCTTGTGAACAAGGTTCTGAACTTCCGGCAGCGGAGAAGTGCAGATGAGGAGCAGAATTTGAATGAGGAAGACATGGATGACGAGGGGGTGGTTGATGGAGATAGACCGAGGAACAATCGCTGGGGCGCCCGAGGAGTTTCCGTCTCCGCCGATGACACATTGGAAAATCACCGGGGCGATTTTTCGGGAACGGGCCATGATGACGGTCTAGAAGGGTTCTTGGAAGACGATGAAGATGACGATTCGGAGTACAGAGGGAGTCCTCCGAAACAGTCGGCTGGGGTAAAGGGCAGTCACGAATGAACTGTCATCTAGAAACCCTGCCGCAGATCTGCCGGCTTTGGCTGCACGGTTCAATGTTCTAGGGGAATTGTTTCTCTAGTTCCCTCTCTTCGTTTCTGTTATTTCCCATTTTCTGCTCGGCTTTGTCTGCATGGAATTTCTTTCACGTCATCTGATCGTCACAATCTCAAATCGCTTTTTGGAATATGTAGTAATGCGGTATAATCCATACTGAGTCAGGACTAGGACAATCTACATCCCAGTTCGATCGAGCTGACGGGTAGACTATCACGGATGCCATGGTACTGGTAGGGTCGAGATGAGATCATCCCCCCATCTGAGACGCTATAGGTGAAACAAAGGTGAGATGGACCCCGTTGTTTCAAGACTGCAATCAGCCATTGCTGCGCCTGGCCATAGCCACCACTCGTTGTTTGGACAATCGAGGGGACCGAGTTAAAGGGGGGCAGAGAGGGAGAACAAAGGGGCCATTATGAGGGCAAAAAAGCCTGGGCGACAACCTTGCCCTGAATCGGCAAACCCGGCAAACCCGGCAAAGGCCGTCATGCGCTGATGAGACTGTGAGATGCGATCCGAGCCCCGGTCCAAAAGGGTCAAAAATAGATAACTAGTTGCTAGCGCGCGAACGTGAGGATGGCCTTGTCATTCAGGAAATGACGAGGTAGCATGCGCTAGCCCGGAGAGGCAGGCGCGCGACCCAGTGACATCACGTGCGGGCGCCCCCGGGGCCCCCGATCGTTCGACTCGCTGGAGCGAAGAATGAAGATCATCCACATGGCGGTGATGTGCGGGCAACAGGAGGGGGGGCCTTGATGATACGCCGGTCAGAAAGCCGTTCCATAGGGCCAAATCCCTCCCGAACGCCAAAAGGGTATCCAGCACGACAATCGCTCGCCAGGGAAACTAATTGACTTCCAGAAGGACGGCCTCCCCGAGTGCCCCGGCAATTCTTGATGCGCCAGTGCCATGGTGGAATCCCCCGGCTGGAAGAATGGTTGGAGATCGCGGTCCGTCCTGAAGTACTTGCCATGTTCACATCTCGTCTGGCGCGTAACTCCCCATCCCCTTGGGGGACACGTGGCTCTGCTTGAATGCAAACAACCGACAGGATGATGAGCACTCGACTGATCACCGTCACCCTTATCCCTCTGGTTCCTAGACCATGTCCAGGGGAGAGAACCGGGTAGCCCGCGCATGACTGGGCCGGTCGTCGTTCATTTCGGGTTTGGAGACATGCTTCTGGCTATGCGATCGGACTAGTGTAATCGCCCTACGGACTCGCTGACCACCAAGTCCGCCAGTCCCCATGTCAGTCAGACAAGCCTACCAGCCTAGGCTAGGCCAATCCGTCCTGATCCACCGGGATTTGCAGCCGCAGCGACGGAGAAGCACTTAATGGCCTATTTTGCCGTACTATCCCTGCCCATGGAGCTTCCTTGATGCTCTGCTCCTGTTTTGCTGGTGACCGTGATCCTCCACAGCTTTCCGAACAGGATTTAGTTGCGTCCGCTAACAAAGCACGAGAATCCTGGCTGATGACCTACCTACCGTTGTTGGGGCTGCGTTTAGTAGCTTGGTCAATTCGTCTACTCTTGGTTGCGCTCACCCTCTCCACCTCCCGTAGCGGCTAGGAGACTGGCGATGCGTGCATCTATCCTTCGGAGGATTTTAATTTTTCTCGCGCCTTTTTTCACCGTTGAAATTATTGATCTATTTTATTTATTGACTTAATATTTATTTGAGTTTTTTTACCTTCTCCTTTACCCGGCTTTTTCCTAATCCGCAGGGGGATCTTCTCCTTCGATTACTATCGGCCGCTCTATTGCTCGAACTGTCAGCTTCAGCGCTAACCCGCTGATTGTCATTTGATATGGGATTCGGGCGGGCCGCCAAAGCATCGATTCCGGTCCTTGGCCATGACATTATTCATTACACAGTTCCCACTTGGGAGATCCAGAGCATCGGGACTAAGATCGCAGCCAGGTGTTGCCTTGTTCTGAGTAACCCATGGTGGGCCTGGGAATGCAAAGTCTGAGCCCCGAGGGTTTGGGGGCTGGATTATCTCCCTTCTCATGTCATGTCCAAAGATGAGAGATTATTTCTCCTCCTCCCCTGCCCCTCTAGAAAATGGAGCCGTTCGCCTGGAATCCGCGGGCGCTTAAATGCAGGCTCATGGTCAAGCCTACACCTCTGGTTGCGATCCAATTTATGCGGCACAGTGAAGTGGGCGGTACCTACCATGTTCGCTAGAGTCCTCTAGGCCTGTTGTCACAAAGGCTTCACACTTCTGGCCTGCCTTGCGAGGCATCCCGCCTGTCATTGATATTTCCTACTCGGGTATATGAACCCGCACGCACGTCCACCCAACTTCATCTCTCTCTTTTCAATATCCTCCAAGCTTACGACTTGTGAAGAACCATAGCTTTCTTTTGACTTTTTCTCATCAAGAAGACCTTTTAATCATTCTACTTGTTCAATTACTCCGCCAAATCATCTGATACCCCCTGCTTTTGCCACTGCTGGCGGTCATCTGTTTGCGTGTTTCATCCACGTTACATTCATTCCACAACAACAGCCCCTGCATCAGTCGCCACCAAGGAACCCCAATCAGTCTTTCCAATGTATCCCCAGACGCCCATAGGATACTCGGAGTCAATGGTGTTCGGCCATGGTGGCCCCAACCCTGGGGACGGAATTGACGAGTACTATGCCAGCATGCAGCCTCAGTGGGCCGGGATCGATACTGTACGTTGAGTGCAAATGCCATTACTTGACCACCTTCACTTGCTAATCCGTCCGGGTCTCATAGTCACCTTACACTGATGTCAGCCACCCTTATACCACGGCGGCCGCCTTTCCGGCCGGTGCCATCCTGACCCCAATCAGCCTTCCCGATAGCTCTTTCAGGCCAAGTCCGGTACTCAGCCATCATTCGCAAGAATTCCACTACAGCGTTCCTGAGACGGTCCCGTCGCACGGACTGGGCATTACTGCCCCCTTTCCCAGCACATTTCCCCGTACTGTTACGGCAGGCCTGGGCCATGTCTCCGAGGAACCCGAATTTAATTTCAGTGAAGCCACCCTGTCACCCCAACCACCCCCGGCGAAGAGGGTCCGACGCGGCCCCAAACAGGCGATCACACCCCGGGAAGCTCCGGTTACAATTCTCCCTAATCCTGAAGGGCTGCAGCGCATGGAGCAAGAGCGACGACAAGGGGCCGCTGACGCACAACACAGCCAGAGGCCTCGGGCTCCGGGCCGGGGACGGAGGGATCCTCAAGCGGAGGAGGAAGATGCATTTGTGGAGCGGCTCCGGGAACAGAATCTGGCGTGGAAAGTCATCCGGGAGATGTTCCGGGAGAAATTCCACAAGGATGCGTCGGAGGCGCGGCTACAGATGCGCATGCTACGGCGACGAAAGGAGCGGCTGGCGCGTTGGGATGAAAACGATGTGAGTACGTGAACCGGAGTAGACACAAATTGTCAACTAATTAACGATCAAGTCATCCAGATCCGACTGCTCATGAGAGCGCGGGAGTACTGGGAGGATGAGAAGTACAACGTGATTGCACAGAAGGTGAGTGGTAGTCTCTATCTATCTATCCATCTCTAATGCGCCCGGGGCCATCCGGCTTGGCTAACCAAGGGGATGAATGCAGATGAAGGAGTTCGGAGCGGGGCCGTACACCCCCCAGCAATGCGAAGCTCAACTACGATACCTCGAGGCCCAGAAGCGGGACCGTAGCGTGGGTCCACGGGCTCAAATGTCCGAGGCCCAGCAGGCGCGAAAACGGTCGTGGTCCAAGGCGGCTTCCAGCATGGCCGGTGGTAGTACGAGGTAGCATTTTGGGGACTTTGGGAGGGTCCGTTGAAGCGCATTATTTGATTTCTTTGGGGGTTTTGGGGGGAAATTACACGCAAGGATGATTGTTTACGTCGGGATGATTTCTTTGTTGACTCTTGGATATACCCTGTGACTGATTGCATATGAATGACATCTTTTTTCTAATTTTTTGGACCTTTTGAGCAACGTGAATGTCAAATCATCGACTGTCAGGATGACATTCCCGCGACATGGGGGAGAGACGATCACGCCAATCAGGGGCCGGCCATGCGAACAAAGAACGAGCGCCGCGTCGTACAAGTCGTCGGGCATTCGAGGCGATCTCAATTAAACTTTCCGACCATCTCAACGGCTGAAGATCAGCCCGACGAGAGGCCCAGCTGGCCCGCTCGAGGGGCCCCTAACCGCCAGCAGCCCCAAGCCACACGCCAGCTGGTCCTGCTCGCTTCCTATCAAAGAGCCGCCGGTCCTGATCCTCCACGCTTACTTACATCGGGGTGCATCGGCTGTCTGAGACAGTCTGGACCGGCAGCCACTCTTTTGCTAACTTTAGCCACGGCGTACCTTTTTCGGCGCTAGTTCTATGCGATGATATGCCATGCTATGCCATGCACATGCACCTTTCAGCCGCAGCAGCAGGGGGGGGGTTTTTTTTCCCTGCCGCCGGCTTCATACGATGGATTCCCGACTACATGGTTAGTCGAGGTATCTTCCACACCGACTGCATGATGCCTCGGCTTCGTCTAAGCCAAACATGCCGGAGAAATGGATTCCAAAAAAAAAAAAAAAAAAAAAACAGACGCCAGGACGAGTGACTGCACCTCTAGTAGCGTCGCTCCCGTTTCTGCCCGGGGCGGGATGTGGTACATGACTCTGTCGTTGCATTCAGCCTGCTGGGTCTGTTCCGACCCTAGGATGATAAGCGCAGGGTATGGAGTACACTAATTATGATGGTCGTGCATTCGTTCAACGTTGGGGCTAGACACAGCACTAGGGGCTTGTGAGAGGATGGGTAGGACGTGCCCGGGTTGACACATCCAGATCTAGGCTCTATTGGTCGTCCTCCTCTATATCTTCATCCACTATAGGGAACGTCAACAGGGCCGCTACTCCCCCCAACCCATCGAGTCGTCTTCCACTCTCGTGGTCCGAGCTGAGCACCCGCACCTCGCCTCCCTCAACATCTCGCACCCGATCCACCAGCGACACCCACCGTTTGCGCTCCGCCACGTCCTGTGACCTGAACAGCCGATTGGAAATGATCAGCACGCCGCCTCCGCGGCCAACGGCGCCTTGATCGACAGCCGATTCGACCTCGCGGGGTCCATACGTTGCTTTGTTGGTTTCCTTGCGCAACTGCTCGAGAAAGTCGTCCATGAGCCTGGTCTCGCGCGCATACTTGGTGTCGGCGAGGATCGTCTTCACAGCCGGCGATTGCAGCACTTCCGCTAGCGAGTGGAGATACCCGGAGGCAGAGTGTACGACCACAATGCTAGGCAAGAGCCGTTTTAGTGCCGGTGTCGTGGTGGATGCCACTGACTGGATATACTTTTGAAAACCGGCGGCCACGAAGCCGGGTGACGCCAGGAGGACAGGTCGGACGGCCTCGTTACTGGTGAGTGCCACCGAGCTGGTGTTGAATTCTAGCTGGCGCAGCAGCGTATCGAGTGTAACCTGGAAGAACTTGGACATGCCCTATTCGCTGTCAGCATCTGACCCCTATACCCCGATTGATTATCACCCACCTTATCATGATCGCCCCCACCATGTCGTTTCCTGGGCACTGACATCTCGACCTTCTGCTTTAGGATAGTCTGGAATTGCCCGATAAAGCAAATATGCGCCAGGCCTTCCTGCATCACCACGGCCACAGCCTCGGCCCTCCGATTTCCCCCTTCATCCACGGCATCCTTCAACATCTGCACCGCAATACTGTCCCATCCGACTCCCTCGCCGTCCGCCCCAACCTCCTTCTCCAACGTGAAATTCCGATTCAGCTCCAAATCGAGCGTATGGTGCTGTCCGATCTTCGTATGCGCCGTCTCGTTCACGATAGTCCCACTCACATGCAGCTGCGAGCTCTGCGGGTCGAAGTCGAGGTTCTTGACGCGGATTTCAAGCATCAGATGGACTCGCGCCGACGAGGTGGATCCGGTCTCTTGGGTAGTGGTGACACGACGGATGGCGCTGGCGCGGAGGAGATCATTAGGTCGGATGAGGTTATATGCGTGCCACTGCATACATTAGCTGAGCTGCCCGACCAGAGTATAATAAATCATACCATATCCTCCGGCTCCTCAGGACACAGCGTCACTGTTCCGGAGCCATTATGCTCAATTTTGTTCTTGATTAAACGCATGGCGTAGCGAGTTGATCGTTCGCGGGGCAGTTACTGAAACTGTGGTTCCAAATAACCTAAGATAGATAAAAAAAGATCCTCTAGATACCAATATCCAAAGTATAAAAATCAGCCGCAGAAGCGTGCTCAGTATCGCCAACACTCTGGCCAAAGAGTCAGACAGTCAATAGTCAATCAAGCTCAGCTCTCCCACCACGGATGACGAGGATGCGGGACACATCCAAATCCAGCCTAGCGTCTAGCGAGTGTGTCATCCGATGACCCCTTATCGATAAGAACGAGCCCTAAGACCTAAGCCCTAGTTGGTGTCTCGGAGATAAGATCATCTGATTGATACCAGCCCATGCTGCCCCATCTACTAGTGAATAGTTTCTCTTGTATATCCCTCATCACAGACACTGATGAGACGGAATACCAAACAACCAGTGTATATGTGATGGACTTGATACGAAATATAATACTATGTAGACATACATACACAACAAACCTCGGCCCAACCCCTCCCCCTCCCTTCCCCTGCCCTCCTAAATTAAACCCCTCCCCCTCCACAAGACAAGACAAGAACAGATCAACTCAACGTGGGGCGAATAAATGAAATTGAAATTATTCGGCATGAGAGACCTTTGACGGGATGGCGGGGACGTGCTGCATCCTCCCTTTTCCGTGAATATAAATTAGACCTTTTATAGTAGCTTAGTATTGAGATTTTCTTTTTCTTATTTACCTTCCTTTTCTTTCCATTCTTCATCTCGATTTGTCTTTTCTATATTGGGAACAGCTGTAAAGAGATACAAAAAATGACCTCACTCACCCTTCAATCAACCAAGAAGATGGTCTCCGGGTATGAGATTCCGGTTGTGGGGTTTGGGGTGCGCTGTCCTTTCTTTCTTTCTTATCCCTTTTTATTTTCATGAATGGTTGGGTAGTGTGGTTCACTGACTAGGGTACTATGGTTATGGTTGTGGTTATGTATAGGTTTATAAAACGTACACATCACACCCTTATCCATGAGTTCTAATGAATGGCCACACTGATGTATTTCAGTCCCCCCGACCTCACCTCAACCGTGACTCTCAAGGCTCTGGAGGTTGGATATCGTCATGTAAGTACATCTCTCCCTCCCCAGATCACAGAGAATATAGAACGCAGCTAAGAAGGAAACAGATTGATAGCGCAACCCTCTATAACAACGAAGCAGAATGCGCCCAAGCAATCCACGCTTCCGGCCTCCCCCGAGAGGAAATCTTCTACACGAGCAAAGTCCCCACCACGCACATGTCATATGAGAAAGCCAAGGAGGCGATCAACGATAGTTTAGCTGCTGCGGAGTGTTTGGGGTATATTGATTTGTATTACCCCCTTTCCCATCTCTTACGAATCTACGTTAAGGGAGTCTGATCTAACTGGCGGTATAGAATGCTCCTACATGCACCCTATGGCGGCAAGTCTGGCCGTCTAGGCGCCTGGCGCGCACTCGTCGAAGCGCAAAAGACCGGGAAAATCCGGTCCCTGGGGGTATCAAACTACGGGATCCAGCATCTCGAGGAACTGGAGGAGTATATTCGCAGCAGTGGTGTCGGGGGAGAGATCTCGGTGGGACAGTATGAGATTCATCCGTGGTGTGCGAGAGAGGATATTGTGGGGTGGTTGAGGGAACGGAATGTGGTGGTAGTGGCGTATTCGCCGTTGGTGCAGGCGAAGAGGATGAAGGAGCCGGTGTTGAGGATGTTGGCGGAGAAGTACGGGAAGAGTGAGGCGCAGGTGTTGGTGAGGTGGAGTTTGCAGAAGGTGAGTGTCTTTCCTTTTTTCTTTTGTTGAAGGAGGGTGAGGTGTGAATGGTGCTAATGGTTTAGGGATATGTTCCGTTGCCCAAGTCGGTGACGGAGTCGAGAATTGTGGAGAATTCGCAGGTGTTTGATTTTGAATTGTCGGGGGAGGATATGAGGCGGTTGCAGACGGCGGAGTATGCTCCTGTTTGTTGGGATCCGGCGAGGGATTCAAAGCTGTAAAGAGGAAGCTGTATTGCGTGAGCGATGAGGTACTGTATTGTTAGTATAGAGATGGTAAAGTGGATGTAGTCGATAGAATCGAAGACGTGATGATATCCGGCAGATGCCAGGATGAATCCGGGCAACACCCGCCCGGCACAACGTATCCCCGGGCGGTTTCCTTCCGCATTCTCAACTATACTGCAGCACAACAACCTTTCGCCCTTCGTTGACCCAAGCCTACATTCACATGAACCCCCCAAGATCTCCTCCAATGTCGACGGCCCACCCCCGGCGAACCCCGCGTCTTCCCCGCCCTTCATCATGCCTGAACCACCCAAGCGCATTATCCTAGAGAAATCCCGCACCGTGCGCCGTCGCTACCAGCGCAGCAACAAACGATTCCAGTTCACGGCGTCGCAGATCGCTCGCATCGAGCGCGAACAAGAGCGCGAGAAACGTGCCCAGCAACTGCGCGATCGGGAGAAGAAACGGGTCGCGAATAAGAAGAAGAAGGCGGAGAAGGAGGCCAGGGCGCGCGAGGATCGGAGACGCTTGGGTTTACCGGATCCGAATGCGCCGTGTGTGCCATCCAGTCAACCGTCGCTGTTTACTTTCATAAAGAAGAAGGCGGGTCAGGATGGGGAGGGGGGTACAGAGGTAGATGGGGAGGGGAATGGAGACGATGACGATGACGATGACGATGACGATGACGATGACGATGACGATGACGATGACGATGACGATGACGATGACGATGACGATGACGATGACGATGACGATGACGATGGCGATGGCGATGGCGATGGCGATGGCGATGGCGATGGCGATGGAAGTGAAGGGAGTACGGAGTTTGAGGATATTGATGACGATCTTCTTGGGAGTTTGGAGGATTTCTCCGCAGTGAATGAAGTGGACTTGGGGGAAACAACTGAAGTGGACAGTGATGGGGGCGGGCTTGGTGCTGGAGACGAGTCTACAATTTGCGACGTGATTAAAGATGACGGCAACAGTGATGGTGGTGGTCAACAGAAGACCAAAGAAGCGGACGAGTTCTCTGACTGCTCGATTTTTGACGATGAAGAACTCATCAAAGAGACCGAGACTATCGTCGTTGCGCCGGAGAACCCCACGCCAAAAACCGAACATCACATCCAGCCGACCGCCACCAAGCCTGCCGATTCGTTTCAAGATGACACGGCACTCTTGCTGGAAGAATTTGGCCACGAGTTCGACACGGATGAGGAATTCGAGCAGGCGCTGATTGAGCTGGCTGCCGTGTGATCCGATGTTTATACTGACTGGAGAATACTTCCGACCCGATGGCGATCCGTTCGGATGCGCCCCTCGGCTCGGACAGTGATATGGTGGCTGCTTCCCGCCGTATTACCGTTGATCCGTCGGATTGCAGGAGGTATGAGCTTTGGGGTTTCGGTGAGCTGGGTAGTGGGTATGCAGAGGATGAGATGGGAAGATGAAGCGTTCAGGTGTCGAGGCGCCCGCTAGGCTCCCGCGGCATGACGTTGCTGCTTTAAGCTGCACATTCGATCGATACGATTGTCCCTCCGACATCCCCTCCACTTCCATCTCTCCACAATCTTTTGACAACACTTTTTAGAAAGAAACAGCAACATCATGCCTATCATCAGCGTTAATAACCATGACATCGCCTACACCGACACTTACCCGAACGGGGCTCCGACTGGCGCCCTGACCTTCATTTTTGTACACGGCCTAGGGTCGTCACAAAACTACTTCTATCCCATCCTCCCCTGTTTAAAAAATTACCGCTGCATTACCATGGATACGTATGGTGCTGCCCGCTCCACCTATACCGGTGACACGATTTCCATTGCTTCCATCGCTGCAGATGTGGTCGGGGTGCTCGACGCCCTGCGAGTGTCCAAGGCGGTGGCCGTTGGGCACTCTATGGGCGGGTTGGTAGTCACTCTCCTTGGTGCACAATACGCGAATCGCGTGGAGGCCGTGGTGGCTATTGGGCCTACACACCCGTCCGAAGGACTTGAGAAGGTCATGACCGAACGCAGTGAGCTTGCGTCAAGCGGTAAGTAGTCTATCCTGGTGACGATTCGTGCTGACTTTGTAGCCGGCATGGAACCGCTGGCAGATAAGATCCCCGCGGGCGCCACGGGATCACGCAGCTCCTCGTTGGTTCAATCTTTCATCCGAGAGCTTCTGCTCAGGCAGAATCCTCATGGATATTCGGCGCTTTGCCAGGCTATTGCCACGGCGCCAGTGATCGACTACTCGGCGGTCACAGCGCCGTTCCTGCTGATTGCAGGCGACGAGGACAAGTCAGCGTCTATGGAGGGGTGCGAACACATATATACGCATGTATCAAGTGAACGGAAGCATATGCAGGTACTCTCAGGGGTTGGTCATTGGCACTGCCTAGAGGCGCCGGAGGCGGTTGGACAGGCGATTACACATTTTGCAAAAGACCAGGCTCAGCAGGATGGTTTTTGGTGATGTATGTTGATGAGTTGTCTGGATAATGGGGTTTTTAAAAAGTCCATTCTATGTTGTTACTCTATCTTGGTAGATAGATGGTACTTATAATAAAAATACTATTGGTTTATCGCGTATATCATTCCACACCTCGTTATAATATGATTTGAATCCCTGACTCGACTTCAGTCGAGCAGTTCAACGACATCCGGCTAGACAACATCAGCTGGTATTATTCGTCCTGCCCTCGTATCTCAACATTCATAACTCTGCAACACATAATCAACTCACTCTACTTACTCTACACTACAACCCCCTCACCAAACCCAATGAAAATCCATAGAAATAAATAAATAAATAACTCGCTTCACATACAATACACAACACACAATACACACTCCATACCAGATACCCCAAAAAACCAAACCCTTATTTTCCCACCTATGCCTGCACCTGTGCCGGCGCCTTCACCAACTTAACATCATACTGCAACTCAAGTCCAGCTTGAGGATCATCCTTCCGAGGCACGAAATCCACAATCAACGAGTCCTTGACAGCAAACACGGAATCATTCGTGAGGTATTGATCCTTGGAATCGAAGATTTGCGTCGTGAGGGGTTTGTAGTTGTCGTAGGTTGCCTACACCACCACCACATATTAGCATGTCTCTTCCCCTCACAAACAGAAAAACAGAACCGAAAGAAAGAGGATGGGGCACACATACAATAATATGAATATGCGCCGGCCGGAACGGATGTCTATCCATAAGTTTGAGGAGTTTGCCTGCGGGTCCTGTCATACCACATCACATTAGCATTAGCCACACCCATCTTCTCCCCCAATTCCCCCAGGGTATCAAAAATACATACCATCGTCCGGAACAGGATACGGCGTCGGCCTAAGACAATAAAACCCATACCTGCCGTCCTCATCGGTCCGAAACTTCCCTCTTAGATTAAACTCCTCCTGCTCCGGATCCTGCTGCTCATATAACCCATTCGTACTAGCCTGCCATACCTCGACCGTTGCGCCGACCAGCGGCTGTTTGGTCTCGAAGTCCACGACGCGACCGTGCATGTAGGCCATTTCCCCGGGGATGGGTTTCGGTGGGGTGAGGACGATATTCGCCCCGTTGGGACGGTAGGGGGTGTCGGCGCGGAAGAAAGGGCCTAGGATTGCGGTCGCGGTGGGGGCGTCGGGGGCTTCGGTTGCGAGGGTGTAGGTTATTTCGTCGACCAATCTATATCATACTTGTTAGATTGGGTGGTTGGGGGATGGATTGGGAGATTAGGGAAAGGTGGTGTTTGGGAAGGAAGGGGCATACGATTCAAGTCCAATCACATCACAAACGAGTTGTCCCTCGTTACGCTTATCGTCGCTCATTTGACCAGCCCAGTTGAGGAGTTTCACGCCCGCCATCCACTCGTCCACGGTGAGTTCGTTCTCGCGTGCGAAGTCGTGGACGTGTCGGATTAGACCCGTCATTAGTTGTCGGAAGCGCGGGGTTGTGTTGGGCCCCATGCTGGAGATGACGTTGTCGGTGAAGTGGGGGTCGAAGCGGGACATTTTGTTTTCTTTTTTTTACTTTGATGATTTGGGTGTAGGGTGGATGTAGATATGGAGGTTGAGGTAGAGGAAAGTGGGATAAAGGGAGTAAGACTGAGGGAGTATTGAAGGCGAGAGAAGAGGGGTAATTATATAGATCCTCAATCGAAAGGTCGATCCATTTTTTAAAGGATGCCCCGGATTCGCTGTTCGGAAAGCCGAGAGTTCTGATTGGCGGTGGTCGGATGGCATCCGACTTCCCCGCACGGCTTCGGAAGCCATCAATTCACCCCACATTGCCTGACATTTGCATCCATACTATCCAATCTTATTAGTTATTCCTACAGAGTAGTGAGTACTATGTAGGAAAGCTGATGCATCATCGACGCTTCCCGTCGGACCGTCCCTTGGGATTTCTCCCCTGCGCCCATTCCGACGGCCACTGCTGCACCACCTGACCGCGCTCCCAAATCTTCCCCATCTTCCGCTCCACCACCACATCCACAAACTCCAACGGTACCATCTTCTCTCCTCCCTCACCCTCACCAGCTACACCCACACTCATCCCCTCACTAAGAATAACCCCATTCTCACTCCTCCAAAACGGACATCCCGCCTTCAACGCCCTCTCCAAATCCACATAAACCAACACCTGCGCATCGCGTCTCATCCCCGAAATCACCTTTCCTTTATCCCCATTCCCCTCCTTATTCTGATCCAACTGCCCAAGCACCTCCTCCACCCCCGGCCCCGTCGCAAAATGCACCTGATTCCGTCCCATACAGCGCAATCCCCCCGACGCTACGATCGCCGGCCACGCCGAATGATACGTCCCGTGCACGACCGTCCCCGGTAACTTGTCTTTCCCCTCTAGGGTGAGTTTTTCAAGCAGGTGGGCGGCCTCGACGCTCTTGATGCTGTGGCCTTGGGTTGCGCGGATGAGATAGTGGGTGGGTGTGGAGTCGGTCGTGCTGGCGGTGATGGCGGCTGTCGTGGATTCTTCTTTGGATTCTGCTGCTTCTTTTTCTTCTGTCTCCGTGGGTGTGGATGCAGGGGCGTAAAGTAGTGCGAATCGCTTCTTATCGGAATTGGCTACCGCTTCGATGATCTCGGGGAAGGTGACTTTTAGGGATTTGAGTTTTCGCCATGAGAGCTGGGTTATGGTGAGGTTGATTAGTATATTACCTCTGAGAAGATGGGATGGGAACGAGGGAGGGGGTAAGCTGAAGGGGGGGGCATACCACGTCTGCGACGTTGGCGTAGCCCTGGGCGTCTATCTTCAAGCCTTCTTTTTCGGCGGCATGACGGAGGAGTAAGCTGAGGGCTTTGGAGACCGTGACGGCGCGGCTAGGTGGAGGGCGCGGTTTGGGGGGCATGATTTATTTTTTGTTGTAGCTGGCTGTGTTGTGTTGAAGGGAGTAAGATGGTGGTGTGGGTGAAAGTGATGAGGGGAACGGCACTGAGCGAGACTTTTCGGCGCGGAACTTTTTTGATGTCATCGGCGGGAGGCCCACATTCATTCTGTTTAAAGAGTACTATTTCATACATTGTAGAGTGAGGACCTGTGAATTTCATGTTGTTATTAGATTTGCGACTCTCAGCATGGATGCCCCATACATTATATTATTATTATTATTATCGCCACGTATCCTAGCTATCCATGACCTGTCTACTTCAGATACAGATCCTGGGCTTTAGCTTTCTTGGACAAGATCGAATTTGTAGAAACCCTCCGGGAATGCTGATGGATCTGTTCGTAGAAGATTTCACAAGACGAAGATAATTAAAAGGAACGACTCACGCACTTCTATCATCGCTCATTTTCACTTTAGAGCTCTACTACCGGACTGACGTGAAATCAATCTGCGAAATGACATCCTTCCCTGTAGTTACTAGAGTTAGTAACTTAGTTTCAACCCATTGTTGACATGACAGTTGGCGAACAGGCGATCAGTTAATATTTGTAGCTAGCAATCCATCCACTCCTCCTTATTATCAAAAAATGCTTCATGGTAAGGGTTCTTCTCCAACCAATCTTCTGGGGGCGTCGATGAGCAAGACTTTGTATAGAAATTGGTGAGGGCCTCGTTGAGAGCTGCATACTTAGTGATGTTGACTAACGGCCATGTTAAACAGCGGGGCATACCTTGCAAAGTCATAGGGTATGAGGGTTGAAGGGTAAATCGTGAATCTCGCTCTCGATACAAGGTTAAGGACTTTGGAATTGCAGTGCCTTTGCAGGGTTATTATGATCCAGCTCTCATATGACGCACGCTTGCCTACCTTTCGAGATGGTCAAGTAAAGGGGACAAGCTTCAGCTTGGCCATTATCGATTGCATCCAGATAATTATCAAAGGACCTCCGTGTTATCTCTTGCAGGAAATGGGTATTTGGCATAAAGAGCGCCCCATTTGAAACTTGCATGATGTGAGTAGCAGAAAGCGGGGAAATCTTTTGGTAATTAATGCATACCATCTGGACTGATTTTGGGATAAACTAATCCATCACGAGCAACTTCGATACCGTCTTCCCATTCCCAATCGTCTTGATCCAATCTTTTGTCAAAGAGTTGTGACTCGGGGCGTACTTGGAATCGATACAGCGTTGCTGGGGATATAGAGTGAGATGACACATATGAAAGAGCACGGTAGTTCTGAAAACGTGTAGAAGCACCGGAAGTAGGGCGGAAGATGTTTCGGAACATTGGAGGTTGTAAGAGTTCAACTGTTCAGAGCACACGAGCTTCAGGAAAGGCTGTTTGTTGACTGGAATGTGTTTTGACTCTAAGACGTCGGAAGTCAGGAGTACGTACGGCCTGCAGGCCGGCAAACAATGAACTCACATTGCCCTCGTTTCCAAGCCAACCGACCGCAGCTCTTCTATTAACCACATCTGGATCAATCAACTATATGCAGATCAGACCGCCACGTGCATGCGAAGTTTTAGCTGTTTATGACTTCAGTGTCAGTCATCTTCACAGGTCCTCACATTCTAGCTGGAGCATCAGTATCCAGATACTACAATCGGTTTTAAGATAACGAGAAACATTATCATCTTCTGCTCATAACCATACTGCAGTAAATTAACAATACCATCGCAAATGGGTATAACAAACACATCCAAGCTATCGATCACAAATACAACTACACTCTGCCACCGGACACACCTTATGTCGTCCAAACCATTCCCGTGCATGATGCGCATGGAACCCATGATTACAATTGATACAAAACACGATAAACCGACGCATTAGATCGGCCTCTGATGGGCGACGGCGCTCTGCACTCGCCGCTGCATCCGCTGCCACACACGCCTTGGACATCGGGTCCGGCGCCCCCAGCCAGAGTGTGCATACTCCGCAGCGCGGCATGTGTCGTCCGCAGCGCGGACATACGGTGCCAGACATGGCGGCGCTGCCGAGGGGGTTGCCGGGGGTTGGGTGTACCACCTCGCCCGTGACGGACGGGGCTAGTTGTGAGGAGGCGTCGTGCTGCGTGAGTGGACGCGTGCAGTAGTTGCAGGTTAGACTGACTTGCTGACGGGGCGGGTCGAACAGTTTCCGGCCGTCCCAGGTCACGGCGAACTTGCGAGAGCCGACGTCGAAGCGCGCGCGCTCGAGTTGGAGTTTCCAGGCGTTGATTTGCTGGCGGTAGGTCTCGCGCCAGGACTCGAAGCGCGCGCGGTCCGGCGATGTGTTGATGAACCGCGGCACCGTGTGGCTCATAGCCAGCACGGCCGTTTGGATGTCGTGGAATTTGTTGATGTAGGATTGGAAGAGGTCCATGGCTGAGTGGTTGAGTCCGGTGAGGAGGATGCCTTCGATGTCGCCTTGTTGGATCGCGGAGGTGGTGGTTGTCTGGAGGTAGCTGGTGAGGTCGTCGTCTGGCAGCCAGCGCAGGGCCACTTCGATCCGATACCTAAGAGGAAGGGTGGTTTCTTGGATGACGGAGCGCCAGTCGCCCTTGCTCACGAGGGCGAGGATGGCTCGCGCGTAGGGGTCAGTGAGCTCCTTGGCGATTTCAGCGCAGGTGTCCTCCCAGTCGGAGTCGGTATCACCTTTCGCGGCACCCGCAATGGCCATGGCGAGGAGCTTATGAGCCTGAGTGGGCTCGTGGCTTCGTAATGCTAGGTAGGCGAGTTTGGGTTCGTCTTGGAAGATGGCCAGCGCGGCGGCTTTGGTGTGCTGCTTGTCGGCGGACAGCGTTTTGACGAGCTCCTCGAGTTCTCGGTGGGATTGCGCCGCGCCGCACAGTCGCAGGCACAGCCGGCGGTGTTCGGCGTACTCGGTCTCGCAGCCCTTGGTCTCGGGGAGGTTAAGTTGCTCCTGGACGAGCTCCAAGATGGTTTCGTGGATGTTGACAGCCGGGTTGTGGCCAACTCGTCGTCCTTCGAGACTCTCTCCTACTAACGTTAGTCATGCCGTGGCATAGAAGATAGACCGTACCCAAGTCATTGTTCCAGACATTGTAGATGCCCAGGTAATTCAGATCTAGCCCGTTGATGACCATGGACTCGTCGCTAGAGTCGGAGCGTGCGCCTAATAGGTCAGCATGGATCGTGAGATACCGGCAGTAGCTTACGTTCAACCCAGTCCCAGAAGCTTTGCAGCCATGGATCATCGGCAATGACCCTCTTGTTGCGTGCCTCGTCAAACAGATAGCCTTCTTTGCACCGAAGCCGGTTCACCGACAATAGTGTCAGCGCATCCTCCATGGGAAGCCGGCTGCCCAGAGCCCCCAGCGACAAGGCATGTTCTCGCGCCTCGCGGCTTGACAAGGGAGTCGCCGGCCGATGGGCAGCTCGACGGCCTTTCTGCGAAGCAGCCCCATTCTGGTCGGACACCCGTTCGCGAAGGTCTTCCACCACCTTGGAAATGCTCGAACCCTGACTGGAGGGCGGAGTAATCATTCTGAAATCTGAGTCCTCATCCGGAGATCCCCAAATCAGGGTGCCCTGCGAAGAGAGTCGTACCGGTGGCGCTGGAGGCTTTGCCGTGAGAATACTCAGTTCATCGTTTCCGGATATTGTAATCGCACTGGGCTCATTCCCGGGACTCATGTTGAGAAAGTCAAACGCCACAACCCTATCCTTCTCATCATACCCCCGAGAAGGATGATTGTAAGGCGTGACCACATCCCGGACGTACTTGGTGTAAATCTGCTCGGGGTAATTCTTCGCAGAGCCCTGTCCCAGGGTCTCATCCATGGACGAACGCATCTCCTCATCCAGATACTCCTTGACGATGTCGTAGGTTTTGAAGTGCCCCGTGTTCGAGAGCACACCCAAACAACCCCTCTTCGTCCTCGAGAACCGCAGACTCCAGATGGTCGACTTGGGCGCAATGACACTACCAAACTCAAGCGACGGGCCCAGCTGCCCCGTCTCCATGGCATTCGTCGGCCCAACGGCCGGGGTAATGAAGCGCGATCCAATGCGCCGATCCCAGATGCAGATAGTCGGATCATTAGTAGCCTGACAAGAGGCGATATAATTCTGATCGAGCCAATCAATGGCCACATTATGCACACAGCGAGTGGGAAACTGCAGCGACGGATTCCCCGGACCCTCTGCGACACATTAACACACATCCATCCCAATCGCAACTGGAGAAAAGCGAAACGAACCTCTCAAATCATAAATCCTCACAAACTGCCCCTTCACCCCCGTCACCAACGTATCCGGCTGATCCGTAAAGAACTTCACACTGGTGATTGGCTCCGAGCTGGCCAATTTCCTCAACGGCTCCACGAACCCCTTGACAGCCTTACTCGTCAACCGCTGATTGACATCCCAGATATTGAGACAGAAATCATTCCGGACCCGATCCAGCCCCGCGGCCAGCAATCCATGCGTACTAAACGCCACAGCATTGCAATACCGCTGATGTCGAATGGGAAACGAGAACGAATCCTGAGTCTCGCTATTCATGCGCAGAATGGTCGCATCCCCCGACGACTGGCCCACCGCGACCAACGACTCATCGACAGGCGACCAATCGAAGGCCCGAAACGCAGGGACCTTGGTATGCGTCGACAAGACCTCCTGTTCCAGACGACGTCCGCCATCAAACGAGGTGACTTTGCACAATCGGAAGGCCTTCCCGACCACGTCCACGGAGAGGAATCGTTGCTCCGCTGTAGTGGAGGTCGGGGACCACCGGATGGCCTTTTCCATTTTCTTTTCTAATCCCCCGTAATTTCTTTTTCTTTTTCTTTTTCTTGAATCTTTTTTTTCTGATATGTCCGGTTTTCAGAACAAGCCCACACCAACCCCTGTGCTTTGTGCTTTGTGCTGCCGTCGCCGATGCGACTGGTCACCACTTCGATCTGATTTCAGCTGCTGCAATCTGATCCGTCACCGGCGGTCCCATTGGCTGTGTGCAGATCCCCCAAGGAAAAAAGAACCCTGTGTGGATTAAAAATCAACGACCCCCTAAACAATCATGTTGGAGGTAAATAGATAGGTAGCTAGTCTCCCAGTCGAAGTAGATACCTAAAATAAGTAAGTAGATAGTTCAGCTGCGCTCGCTTGGTTGGATGTCCGCGCGCGCGTCATGGGACTAGCTGTCTGCTGATTGGTTACGTCGGGGAAGCTTGCGGCCCGACCTTGATCCGCTATCACTTTTTTCCTTTCCTCGATAATAGTACTTACAATTCCACCTTCCCCATCCTTATTTTCCCCCCCAAAATCACCCCGGAGGTTATTATCCTACACGCCAACATGCCCCGAGAATTCGCCCCCGCCATGACAGGCGCGAACCGCATCGCGAAGCGCAAAACCCGGGACTTTGACCTCGACAACACCACAAACCCCGATACCACCAGCACCACTGCAACTGCCCCCCAACAAACCCAAACCCAAGACAAAGACCAAGGCCACGCACGGAAGAAAATCCACCTCCACAAGAAAGAACACAAGTATCCGTCCGTCAACGAACTCAAGAAACGCATTCGCGATGTGAAACGACTTCTCAATAAGGCGGATTTACCTGCCGATGCGCGCATCGTTCAAGAACGAGCGTTGAAGGGATACGAGAATGATCTGGAGGAGGAGTTGAAGAGGAGGGATCGGTCGAAGATGATTAAGAAGTATCATTTTGTGAGGTTTTTGGGTATGTCCCTCCTTTTCCTTTTATCTCTGGTGTTGGTTGTTTTTGCTTGGGGTGGTTTGGTTTATGGACGGGAGCTATGTTGTTGATTTGATTTGGGTAACTACTGGGGATGGTTTTTGCTAATGAGATATCTGTGGGGGTAATGTAGACCGCAAAACCGCCAGCAAAGACATCTCGCGCCTCACCCGACGAGAAAAAGAAATCACTTCATCCTCGACTCTCGAATCCAAGGAGAAGGAACGCAAACTTAAAGCTTTGGCGGAGAAGTTGCACGTCGCGCGGGTTAATCTGAACTATACGATCTATTATCCGCTTTCGGAGAAGTATATCGCCTTGTATGCGGAGCAGAGAAAGAAGACGACGACGACGGGAGGGAAGGGAGATGGGGAGGATTCGGATGATGATGCGCGGTTTGGACCGATTCATGCGACAGTTGCGGAGAAGCCGGGGATGTGGCATGTTGTGGAGAAGTGTATGGCGGAGGGGACGTTGGATGAGTTGAGGGATGGGAAGATGAAGGTCAAGGTTGATGGGGAGGATGCTACGGGAGAGAAGAAGCAGAAGGTTGTGGTGAAGGAGGGTAAGAAGAATTCTGCTGCTGCTGCGGTGAAGGAGGTCAAGAGTGATAGGAATACCAAGGGTTGGGAGCGTGTGGAGTCCGGACGGAGTGAGAGATCGAAGAGGAGGGCTGCGGCTAGGGAGGACTACGCGAGACGGAATGCGGCCAAGGATGATGGCGAGGAGAGTGATGGAGGGTTCTTTGAGATGTGAATTACCGGCTGGGCTGGCTGTCCAGTGTGAAGCATTTACAGGAGTTGGGGTTCATCTTTGTCTGTCTGCCTTTCGGGCTTTTGTGGAACAGTGTACGGCTGCCATCATACGATACCCAATGATCAATTGTTTTCGTTCAGCTGAGATTACAGTACACCGGAGATGCTAAGAACTCAGTTCGAATCTAAATCATCGTGGATGCGAACCGTCCCAACTCCGGCTGCACCCTTCTAAGTAAAGTAGATGAACGGAAATACACTCAATCGTGGGCACAGGGCCTCACGGAATACCCAGGTCAAAGAATGCGCTGGACAAGTGTCTGGCACTTAAAAAATCATCAGATCATATCTCGTAGCATTCACCCGGAGCGATGCTTCAATCCAGCATGACCTGCTCGGTTTCTGCCCTTCCACTAGAAGAGACCGTGCCGGTCATGCTAGACAGGTTGCCAGAACCTATAAACAAAACACAGAAACGAGTGAATCGCTCAGACAATTTTCGCTCGGTTGCAAAACGAACCACGACGAGTAGTCACGCTACATGACGCTGCAGCCTCCTGTGCCGCCGCCGCCTTCGGTGTGTCGTCGTCTGCCAGCCCCAAGTGTTGGGATCACCCCTACTCCATAAGCGGCATCCTCGTCGTCATCGTTGTAAATCCTCTCCGCTTCACGGGCTCGGCGCCGTCTTCTTCTCACCCCGGCCCCTGGAGCACCGGCTTCTTCGGTTGCCATCATGTATTCGGCCCATTTGCGATCCAGCCTGCTCGCGGCTACTAGGTCACCACGGAGGACTCGCTTGTTGTGCTCATCCACGGTCATCTGCCAGCCGTAGAAGCACTTGAGGTGAATGATTTCATTTGGGTATACGGGCGGGGGTGGCGGAGGGGTGATCGAGGAAGCGATCACTGTCGTGGACTGACTCGGATCGACCGTGTGAGTGACGACAGAGACTGCTTGCATAGATTTGCGAGTGGCGCGCGGAAGATAGGCATTGCTTGACAGAACCTCCTTCACCCCAGCCCAGGTCACGTTGGCGCAGTCGAAGACGACCAGACGCAGGCCGATCCGAGGAAGATTCTCGTCATAGCCGCGCCGGCGCACGCGGAAGCTGGCCTCCATCAAGGTCAAATCGGATACTCGCGTGTTGTCCATTTCCACAGAGCGAAGCGAGGGGCAGTTCTTCATGATCTGCAAGGTTCCAATGTCGCCGATGGCCTCGCAATAACTAATGTTGAGGTGCTCCAGACGCGCAGCACACGGGGACTTGGCAAGCTCGATAAGTGTGTTGTTCGACAGTCGCTCCATATCCTCCAGGTCGAGATGGGTCAAGTGAGGGGTGGTCCGGATCACCGCCATAACAGATTCGTCGGTCAGCTCAGAGCACTGCGAAAGTTGCAGGCCTTGGAGATCCGGCACATTGTGAGCGAGACTCTTCACCCCGTCGTCCGTCAACTCCGGGCACTGGTGAATGTCCAGGTGTTTCAACCGCCGGGGAGGGACAATCGGCCGTTCCTCGAGAAGATCCATTTCCGGGTCGACGCCGTGCATAAGCGCTTTGAGGCACTCGTCTGTAAGCTCGGTGCGGCTCATGATCAGGCGTTCCAGGGTATTTCGCTCGTACACGTTGACAGCGAAGTCGACGTCATCGAAACCACGAATTTCACTCGCGCGGAGGTCCTTCAACTTTTCACAAGCCTTCACAATCTTCTTCAGTCCAGAGGTGTCAATACCAGTGCACCAGGACACATTCAAGATTTCGAGTTGTGGGCAGGACTGCGCGATGATCTTCATGGCAGAGTTGCTGACAGACGACAATCCGGATAAGTTGATGTACTGCAGGCGGGGATTCCGCAAAAGGAAGTAGTGAATCGAGGATCTGTCAATGCGGCATCCCTCCAGCGAGAAATTGACCAAGTTCCGGCATAGGTCGGTGATGCGGTCACCCTCGGTTTGCCACTTATCCTTCAATTGAATACATCCGCGGAGGTTGAGATCGCGAACAAATGGACCGCCGGCTGTGATGAGCTTCACAAGACCATCGCTTGGGATTTCACGGTAGTAGTCTGTGGTGTCAACCTCGGTCCACAGCTGTCCATCATAACACATTTTATTCCATGTTTTGGAAACGGCAGAGCAACGGACAATCTCCTTCGGAGTGAGGTACTGGAAGATCCGCATCTTCAACTCGTCAGGCATATTCCCCCAGAAATCAAAGACCCGCTTGGGCTTCGGGGTCGACCGTGCAGTAGCAGCCTCGTCAACCGCATCCATCCCCAACATGGCCCCACGAGATCCAGGTCGCAAGTCAGTGGGCAGAGGAACTGTGCGCGGGTGGGTGGCATTAGGCGAATCGGAGCCGACGAGGCGGATACGGGCATTTCCATCATGATCTGCCGGAAAGCTAGAGCCGGGGGTTATCGGACGGGCATTTAATCCACCATAGAGCTGAGATGTACTTCCATTGCCCAGACAGGGGGTATATGCCGATTGCGAGAGTGACACACAGGACAAAGACGCCTTACCATCCCGGCGGTATCCCGTGGAATGGGACCGGCCCCGCCTGGTCAAACTAGGGCTGGACGAGATCCGTTGAAGACTCTGCAACAACTTATGACGTCCCTTGAGTTTTGGCGGCTGTTCCAAAGGAATCTGGCCGGTTGAAGAAGCCGGGCTCACCGGCGAGGCCGCCTCAGGCGAAGCCCTGATTTCATCAGGATATGCGGTAGACATGACGGAATGGCGGTCTCGACACCCGGAATCCCTCAAGACCCAACAGATCTCTCAACGCTTTCGGACGGGTTCGAATAGGAGTGATCGTACAATGTGATGATGTAGACGGCTACACAGTTAGCCAGGAGTGATGTGTGTTGGCGACGAGCTCGCAGGCGGATGTTCTAGACGGCCATAATGAAGCTAGCCAGCCTTCCGCAAGTATGGTTGTCGAGTCTGGAGTAACACACACCCGAATCAACACCGGACCCGTGACCGCGGATGAAAAGACAGAGGGAAATTGCAAGGGACGACAAGAGCGAAGAGAAGCCAAATGGAAGAACGAGGAGCAGGGCAGACAAACAAGCGACAGGTCGTGTCTTTCGGCTAAGGACCGTTAGGATGGTACCATGGGACTGGAGACCGCGTAACCCCGGGGAATGGCAGCAGCTGCGGGTGGCCGGCACAGGCTTGGACTCTGCAAAGTAAGGCACAGGGTTTGCAGACGTCACCGAAGCATCATCCACAGCGGTCAACAAAGAAAAGAGCAATAGACACAGGCAGCGCAAACGAAGAGTCTGCAGAAGAGCGAGGGAGCGAAGATAATAATGATGGGGGGGAAGAGAAAAGAAGCGAGACGGGGGCAGAATCACGTAAGGCAGGCTGGCAGGTCAGGCGACAGCCAGTTACGGTACAGGACTGACGGGTGAGCCACACCTTGTCGAGCAGAATAATGCATGGCCACAGCAACAACAATGGAGGATTGGCGGGGAGCTTTTTGAGACCGGACCATTCACGGTCGCTGGCTGGCCATTCTATCCTCCTCCTCCTTGGTGTTAGGGGATTAGAACAATACCGTACCTGTCGGTACCCCACAGGCTTATCGAGACACTTATCGCTGCCCCACTTGGGCGGGCGGTGGCGGTTCCGGCGGAGTCACTGCGTGTTCTGGCCGATTCTTACGCCCGCCATACCGTCCACTTCCTCAAAGGCGGGTGAATTCTTCGTTGCCATTGATTGGAACAAGGCCCTGATAATCGGTAGCAAAGATGAGGATGGAGTGGTCGCATGAGGACTTCAAGTCAGAGGGTCCAAGTCAGCCGATCCGCTGGGAGATTCCAATTTCAGATAAGGATGGGACAGACGGTACGATCCGTACGTCAAGCCGAATCGGTAACAAGAAAATATTAATGCCTCGTCTTACCCTCAAGGGTTGAAGTGGAGGCTGAGTTACTTCCTTGTTCCTTGTCCACCTTGCCTGGATGCAGCAGCCAGCAGGAAGCCAGCACATCATCCGTCTTCATACTACTACTAAGTACCTACCTAATAGTATTCTGCCATCAGCCAGACTGCAAACAAACAAGCACCCAATCCCACATGTACTACAATGCTTAGGAAGTAACACACCCGAAGTCAAGCCTCGGCATCTCTACTCCGTCCACCCCAGCCAGAAAGAAACACAGTGGAGGAACCTCCCAGTCTCTACCAGTCTACATAACCAATGATCCACCGCCAACCAAACGAAACCCAGAAAACCCATAAAAACCCACCAAGCAGAGCCCAGAACAACCGTCCATACCACGGTACACCCAAGGGCCCAAAGCCACCAGGCCACCACTTAACGGATGCTGTTCCTGGTCGGGTCTGCTCGGATAGTCCAATGATGTTGCAATTTGCTGCTCCTCTGTGACTAAGACACAGAGTGACACAGAACTATTGCCTGTTAAGTGAGTAAGTAACTACGGGGTTGTGTTGCGGGTTTGTCGCCTCCGACAACACAACGCCACCTCGATACCAGCGGGGACTGTATTCCGTATAGTTACATAGGAGTTACTGATTATTCATACCGCCTAGGAAGTCTCAGAGTTCAATCCAGAATTCCACATGATGCCTACTGGCTAGGAAATCCCTAGCCCACAGATCTAACCCCCAACTAGGAAGAATAAAGTAAGCTAACCTAAGCCCGAAGATCTGAGCCCCCCATCAGAATCCATCCATCAAGTAGATACGACCGAACCATCCATTCATCGTCCTCCCTTGAGGGGATGTATTCGTACCTGACAACTTGACAACTGACAGGTCGCTGCCAAGCCCGACGGCCAATGTCCCGAACAGGTAAGGCACCCATCCATCTTAGGCTGTCACATTGTGATGGATAGACAGACAAATAGTCGGGTTCTGGATCGATCTACATATTATTCCTTTCGTAAGGGTGTTGGGTCGGTGTAAGGGACAAACCACACTATGGCTATTTCCATGTTGGAACTTGGAAAAGGAAGAATATCTGTCACTCGAGGGGGTGGCTGGACAACAATGAGCTCATGGCGGCGCATCACGTATTGTTGCTGGGACTGTTAAGCCACAATGCTAGGCGGCGGGTGCCACTACCATACTAGTAGGTGTACATGCAGCAAGAATGGAGACTGGAGAGAGACTGCTTACTGCTTGCTGCTCGGGAACGCTGACTTTCCCCGCTTCACCCCGCAACTGAGGCCGCAAGATCCCCATGTGGTCGGCCGTTGTGGAAAGTTACCAGACTACCTGCAAAGTAGGCTTGTCGTCTCTATTCGTGCCCGCTTATTCTAACCGCAGGTTTACTATAACACACCACGGGGTATATCGAATCTCATATGCATGCATGCACTGTCAATTCCCTGGGGTCATGCCTGGAATCAAAACTGATCCAAGTAAATGCAAAACATCTAGCCAAAAGAGCACAACAAGATGACGATGGGGTATCTCAGCCTCCTAATTCTCTATACAACCGATCCACGGGCCTCCGCTCTGTTCACGTTGATCCCTCGCAATAATGCCACCCCCTCGCACGCCCCCCGCTCCCATTGGACCCAATCCCAGCCATCCTGCGTAGCCCGTCCGTTTTAATCGTTTCTAATCGTAAGTGCTATCACATCCTTGAGCCATCCGATACGCTGCTCGTCATGAACAGCTTTGGCTCCGGTCCAAGAAACAAAGATCGAAACGAGACTCGGCGTCTCGCCATCAAGACGCCAATATATGAAAATGCTATCTGTGACTATCGTTTCCAATGCACTATGCCACAGCACGTTCTATCATTCCAGTCGTGTAGCTCAGCTGTCAATCATCCAGGGGTGTTCCAAGACCTCGCTGATGGTTAACCGGTTGTCGACATCCCGGTCGAGCATCCGCCGGATCAGGTCGATGCAATCCTCGGAAAATGGCAGGAATGGAACGCGGAGCGGGTGATCCAAGATTTCGTCGACATTGTAGAAGGGGTTCTCTTTGTAGACAATGGTGTAAAGCAATATTCCAAGGGCCCAAATATCCTGCTCCTTGCCACGGTAAGATTTGCCCTGAAGGACCTCGGGTGCCGCGTAATCTTCCAACCCGTCAGCTTTACCAAAATGACAAGAAAATCGTGGGATACTCACCAATTGTACCCACAAACACATCAAAGGGCCCGTTCTTGATATAAGCGGCACTCCCAAAGTCGATCAGCTTGATCCGGCCTTCACCGTCCAAAATAACGTTCTCGTCCTTGATGTCGCGATGCACAACCAACGCCTTCGTGTGGAGATGATGGATGGCGTCTACAACCTGTTTGAAGATGTTCCGGCATTCTGCTTCATCCATGTTGGCTTTCAGTTCAATATAATCAAAGAGATCCATTCCAGGAAGCCCATGCGGCGTCATCTCAATGTAATAATTCACGTCGTCCTCGAAGAACCCTTCCATCTCCACAATGTTGGGATGTTTCAACCCGTCCCGTCGGAGGTAATCCAGAACGTGGATTTCCAATGGAACGGTTCCTAGGCGACGATCGCGCGTCCACGTATCGACAAGAATTCGCTTCTTCGTAACGTACTTCAGGACCATTTTCTTCGTTGGGATTTTCTTCATGCGTGCAAGCTTGACTTCTCCGTAGGCTCCCTGACCCATCTCCTCCAGAATCACGTAATCGGAAATGGTTCGTTTCTTCGGTGCCTCTTTGGCACCAGCGGGTTTCACTTCAGGCATCGGCTGCACCGGCTTGTCGGTTAGCGGTTGTGACGCTGCCTCACTGAGTTGTTGGCTCAAAGTAGAAGTCGGTAAGTGCGTCTCGACCGACGTTCGCTCCGTGCCGGCGGGATGCGGAGTGGAAGACGTTGTCGAAGGCAGATTCGACACAGAAGCGGATGATGGGCTTTCGGCCCGAGACGATGGAGAAGGGAAGCTCGCTGCCGGGGCTGCAGAATGAATATGTCTCGAGTAGCTCACCCACAGTGCGTAGACAAGCTCAGTGACGGCTTCAAACTCGTCGCCTTGATCTCCCGAAGTGGCATCCTCTCGTGGCTTCGGGAACATTGTGCCGCTCTTTGCCACACGCATCTGGACATCGACTGCAATCGACGAGCCATCCCGATGGACTGCAGCCAAGCCAGCAGGTTCTAAGAAGACTGACGCCACATTGGACTTGCCATCCCGGAGGATGGACAGAGTTCGTGCTCTCCGGAAGCTGGGTTCGGAGATCACAAGACCGTCAACCAAGGGGACCCTCTCCTCCTCCGTGAGCACATTGAGCAAGCTGTCGAATCCAGGGATCAAATCGTTCACGTGTAGCCCCTCCGGTCGCTCATGGCCGAATAGTGCAGAGCAAAATACCGAATTGGAACTGACAATCTTCAAAGTTGACGATGATAGCACCATCATGCCCGCAACATGAGGAAAGCTAGATATCCGAAGGCTCCTGGAAGTCTCGCCCTTAGAGATCGTGGACGGTATGCAAATACCAGCTGATGTACGAGTAGCAAAGTACTTCGTCTCGGTGATCTTCGCAAGACCTCGATCGATCGAAGATTCAAGAGATTCTGGCGGAAGATGGGGGAGCAGCTCCGTGATCCGTTCGCCGGGTTTTGCCGCACCGGGACCCCAGATTTTCTCGACATCTCCCGTGGCATCCGCAATATTCCACGACTCATCGCAACGAACAAACGCGACGTTCTCCTGGATCTCCTCGAGAACCCAGATCAAACCTCCACGCTTTTCCATGACCCAGATGCTGGCAGCTCCCCTTTTACCATTGCGCTTCTCGATGGGTACCACATCTCCGCACAGGAGAACTCCACGGGACTTGGTTGCCGGATGATTCAGTTGCCTGGTGCTCGAACCGTATCCATCATCGGTCTGAGCCCTCCTCGGAGCTCTTGATCGCGATGGGGGTTTGCTGAGCAGCTGCGCTGTTACACCATTTCCCATCCCCATTGATTTAAGATTCACGGCCTTGGAACGGGCTTTATCGGGCGAAGTCTGGAGCCTTACTGCGGCATCAGTGGCGGGGTCCCGCAGCTTAGACTCAACCCACTGTCGGCGGTCTTTCTGTACCACTTCGAGGATACTTAACTTGCGGAGCTCCGCTTGTGTAACACCGAAGATCAGACAGGCGATATCATTCGCTGCCAAGATGGTCCATGGTTCATGCGACTCGGTCCTGAACACGGCTTGTGATGCGGGTGTCCACTTGCTGCTGTGCGTGTGTAGGACAGGCACCGGGAAGCCGTATCCCAGAGTTGAGGTGCTGGTGGGTGATAAGGGGTCCGTGGAGGTGTAGGGTGCTAGATTCTCCATCAGCTTGCCCTGGACAGCAATAGAGCCGGCCTCGGTGAAAGTACGTTTTTTAATGCTTACGCGCCTGGGATAGGGCCTCATGTCCGTCCGGAGTGGGGATGGCAGGTCGTCCGATGCTTGACCCGAGGAGCGTAAGGCATCTAGCGAAGCATGCTCCTGGGCCGTCTCCTTGAGCTGATCCGCAGGAAGCTGGGGCTCAGCAAATGCTCGTTCGAAAATGTTTACGCTGTCCACATCTGCAGGGCCGGTCACAGGCCCCCGCGAAAGACCAGCGTAGTTGTAGCGGTCTTCTCTCCCCGAAACGGTGGTCCGCGAGAAGAAATCCACCACACTTTGGGTATCTGCGTCTCCACCGAAACGAGCCTGGGCGCTAGTCAGCCCCGAACTGGTGCTAGTGGTCCAGCCGAAGCGGTCACGCATGAAATCTATAGACCTCTTCAGGATGTTGTGTCGATTATTAAGTAGTTCCTCGGATTGCTGTGCGAACGAAAACGAGTGCAAAGATTCGCAAGGAAAGCGATGAAGATCTTCTAAGGTGCCAAACTCCTCAGTCGATGGCAGGCGTGTGGGATGAGCTCGGGTCGAAGAAGTGGAACGTGGGGAGGGTGAGTGACTACGTGAGGTCATAGGTGCGAGCGATGAGGCAGACATGTTCGGAAGGGTAAAAACTCGTGATGGCTGTTGACGTATGCGATCTAGACCAGATGGGCCAAGTCCATGTTCGTGATCCAGCAGAGAAGACCTGCAGAAGAGAAATAGAAAATTCCTTTCAGTTCCTGCCTCCGTGTTTTGCGCTAACGCATATATGCTACCAATGCAAGGAGGGCTCCTCCATCGGTCACTTACCTTGAAAGGTGATCATACCCCGATGAAAGGGTCTCTGCCGAGTATCTCATCGAATCCTCCGTGTGCCCCGAGAGACGTCTCATAAAAGGGTCCGAGTCGGGCGACGCTGACAGAGGTCCCACGGGGGACGACAATGGACTTGGTTCACCTGAATGGAAACGAGGTTGTTAGCTTCTGACTGCCGACATCCCTTTGCTTCCCTCGCTGTTGTGGTGATATCATCCGCTTTTCCTGCCCTTCCCGAATGCACCCTTCAGCAATGCGGAATGAAGTGGCTGACTTGTGCCGAGATGCATATCCAAATATGTGGGTAAACGGTCTGGAAACCCGACCTGGATTCCCACAGATTGAACGACCACCTCCAGAGATCCGACACTGTCGCGTTTCGCTGGCAGCTTGGTCGTCTCAATCCAAGGCGTCTTGGTGGCCCGCCGTATAGACCTAGATATCGAATACGCTTCTCGGAGCCAACGACTGTACCGTGCCAAAAGGGTACGCTAGGGGATGCAGAGGAAACGGTGACGATCAAGCAGAGAGGATCAAGGAGGGGGAGCAGCACGACTAACCATCGGGATTATATGAAGCAGAACCCATATTTTCCCAAGTAGGCGAGGGCGTAGGGACCAGCACCGACCGGACCGATTGAAAACAAGCGGTTCAAATCGGCGCAACTCGAATGACTGCAAAGGGAGGCTAGGAAATAATGACGGCGAGGTTTATTGCTACATGGGATAACAGGACGTTAACCATTCAAGGTGGTCTGTCTGGCGAGTTCTGCAGATCTCTTGTCTCTCTGCCTCCCTTGGTAATTTTATAGAAATTTTTCTGCTTCGGATTCTCTTGTCTTTTTTTTTTCTTTGCAGACCGATGCGTTGGGGATTCACGAGTTACTGCGAGGGGGAGATTAACCAAGGCCGCCTGCTTGCCGGGATCGCAATGAGTCAATGCACTGGATGAGACAAGCCAGACTTGCAGTGAGTCGATCGGTCAGTCCGTCCGTCGGTGCAGTGAAGGTGGGCGAAAAAAAGGCTGTCAGCGGGCTGCGGGCGGGAACGCGAGAGGGCAGCTGCCTCGTGAGGTCACAGGTACCATACGGTTGCGAAGGAGGCGTAGCACGCGGGGAGGGAGGGACAAGGAAGCTGGAGAAAGCCTAACAGAGAGGGGTCTCTCCTGTTGGTCGGAATTAGTCACAGGGAGGCCAATGGCCTGCACAAGAAAAAGATGTTGCAGTGGCGGGTGGTAGACGGGTAAGGAGGTGAGGTCGGCGTCGGTACTGCGAACCGACAACGGTGGCCAGAGACCGGCCAAGGAAGAAGAGGAGAATTTGAAATGGTCTCCAAAGGACGGTGGTCCTATTGAGAAAGGGATGCCGCCGTAGAAAGAGGGTAGAAGCGAGTCGCAGTAGGCTGTGGTGGGTAATTGTGGAGACCGCAGGAAGTGAAGATGTTGGCGATGTCTGTTCGGAGGGAGAGAGGGATGGATGACGTCTAGTTTGTGGTTGGGGTTGAAGTAAATCAAATGAATAGTACTAACGAGATCCTGTCCGAGGGAGGTTTCAGATCCTCGGGCGCCCTTTTATGATTCTGATCTGGTCTTGCAGCTCCACGCACGAGGAGCAAGCTGTCAGAGAAGCCCCGTCTGAACTGGGGGCATTCGATATGGACGATCAGATTCTCAAACTCAAAGGGAGGGCGTCCCCAACTCAGCCAGCCAGCCCCGATACTTTGGCTGTAGTTTCAACTTCAGGGTCAATAATTTTGGGTCGTACGGCACGGTCGGGGAAGGCGAAAAGAAGGGAGGGCAGAAAAAACAAACATTAACCAAAAAAAAAGGACTACTAGGGACAGCCCCCCCCCAATTAATACAAGGATGAATTCTTATGAAGGCTCAATTTCTTTTACTCCTTCCCCTCCCCTCCCATCCTGGATCCCGCTGGCCATTGACAACGAACGATCACATAGTCACTAATGCAATGAATCCCTCCCCCATCGGAGATGCCAGTATTGAGGTCTGACAACCTGCTCTGGTCCTCACTCCACATGCCTGACCTTGCCTTGCCTTGCCTTGAACTACGACTGGGACTGCGATGACTGCGACGACCGCGACTGCGACTGCGACTCTCACTTCCCCCAATGGAACCACCCAGCCAAAGCATGTGGTGATGTAATCCCCGACGGGGTGCGGACGAAACCATCATTATCAGATGGTTCGATTTTCCGGGTTCTAATGCGTATTATCATTCTTCCGGTCCATCCAGCTCCCCATTTCCCCTCCTGCTGCTGCTCCCCAGCAGGGAGCAACTGATTCACTTGTCTCTGGTCTTGGCGGCCTAACACGATCAGCTCCATTGGTGTTGTAGATCACCGCAGTCACCGAGTTATTCGTTTGGCCTGATTGGGGCAGCCAGCAACGAAACCTACGGACTTCGACTTCAGAACAGCCCGACGATCAATCGTACACGTCGGCACTAATTTCACCGGACGTTTCCAGACCAATTGGCATGCCCCATGGCGGCGTAGCTGGATACCTCCTAGAAGTTAGAATGTCTGCCCGTCAATCAGGTGGGTTGTGGAGGCCGCGTTGCTTCCACGGGTACTAATCGATGCTCTGAAGGACCCGGTACGGCGCAGCCCTTGGATGACTTACGCAAAGTCAGGCACCGAGGCACTTGGGGTTCCCTGCTGCCTGTAGGACATTCGTCGGTCATTCCAGACACTCCGTCATTTCCTCTGGGCTGCTTTTTGCCACACCAGATTGGCTCCTTCAACAACTGGGTTTGACACATGATGGACCGTCGCCTGCTCATCTAGGACAAGCTCACTTTTGTTTATCAGGCAGAATACCTACCGCTTTTCGGTCTCAGTATGTCATACATGGGATTTTGCCAGACTGTCATTTTCCAACGGCAGGCGGTATACTACACATGCTTTGATTGTGTGGCAGGAGCCAACTTGATGTGGCTATTGTAGGCACCCTCTGGAGCCTGGCGTACTACATCCATCGCCGTCCCTCGCAGTGGCAAAAATCCTACCCGACTATCCGAGAGGCATAGTGTTGAAAAAGCGCGGTGGGCGCTTGGATCAACCTGGCCGGATAAAATATCTTGGGCAGTCCTCATGGCGCGATTCAGGCATCAAGGGAAGAGATGAGGAAAGGAGGTACTCCGTAATCCGATGCAATAACCTCAAAAACGGGGTATATCGGACTAGTGAAATGCCGGGGCTAAAATTCTAGAAACAAAATGAATCATACCAAAAGCGCATCCGGATTACTCGCGAGCCTTAGGCCCCCGAAGACTCCGCAGCACCAGTCCGTCGGGCTCAGCGCCGGACCGTCCATGCTCCTCGTCTCCGTTGCCAAATAAGGTATTCGGTTTGGATCGCACTTCTCCAAGCCCATGCCGAGTCTGCTCGGGCGGCACGGATGCCGGACTTACGAAACTCGAAAACTGTCGCCCGCCCCCGAGCATCCAGGAAAACTCCGAATCTGCCAACGATGGACGTGCGGCATGTCGGAGTGGCATGGGTGTGGAAACTGGAGCCTTGGTTGCAGCATTGGGCGTTTTCGTCTCACTCTCAACGGACGATCTAGATGACTTCTCAGATACACTAACCTTGCGCGTTGCTGTGGACGTGTCACATGATTTGTCACCCCCCGCCTCGACACGCTCGGTCGTGGATTTCGAAGTGTCAGAAAGCGATTCCTGGTCCCCTTCCCCATCGTTCGAAACCGGACCAACAAAGCCTGGAGGGATAGATGAATCTTCAAGGCAGGTCTGCACCGACTGAACCTGGGTGAGTGCTTTTTTCAAGGCGTTGCTAGTCTTCTTATCAATACCCTCTGCTCTCATCATATGAGAACGAATATCATTCAAGGCATGGCCAAGGTTCTTTGCAAGCTTCCTGTTCCGTTCCTCGAGGTGTTCAATCTTCGCCTTCCACTGAGCCGTACCATCGGAACCATGATCCCACGGCATCCCTACGGTCGGGCTGGAGGATTCATACCGTGCGGTGCGAGTGTAGTGCTCAGACTGGATAGATTGCATGTTCCTCTTAGCTTCAGTCACTGCCCCTCGGACAGCTTTGGCTACACCCCACGACTCTGTTCGACGTTGTATGCCCTCTGAAACGTCTTGGAAGAGTGTTTCAAGACTCTTGGGACTGTTCCTTGCAGGCGACCTGGAAGGAGAGCTACTTTCGCTCAAGTCCCTTGAAATGCTCCGCAGGCGGAACTTTTTGCTGGTTATGTGCTTCGAACTAGGCTGCCCGAGCCCTTTGGTGACATCCGGTGGCCTGCCTGAATATTTTGAGATAATAAAAATGCCTCGGTCAGGGGTGGGATTTTGTTCCAAGTATATCCCATCAAGCACAAAACTTAGAGGATCATGGGGATGAGGCGAAGGGTAACGGAGCAGGATACTTAAAGCGCCCGAGGAATCGGCACCCAACACTACAGCGAGTCAGCAGCTGAAACCAAGATAGTCTATGCTCAAATAGAACTCACATTGCCAACGAATCCGCAAGAGCATGGCGACGCACACAAAGTCTATCAATTCGGGACGTAATCCTTCTGCAAAAAGGCGATCCCAAATGAGAAGAACATCTTGAAAAGCAAATTCACGACCGAAGAGTAGGCGCATCCAACGGCTTATAGTGTATCAGCATAATGGCTTACCATCATAACAGATAGTACTCACGTGAGAAATATCTGTGGTAGAATTTCTAGTGCTTGCAGATGATCCGCCAGCTCCAAGTCTGCGGTAACCAAAAGTTCATTATGGATGCGCTGGCATTGGTGAACGATCGGTATAACATCCGCCTGGCCATTTTCGGACCGATGTCTATTATGCTCATAATACACTCGAACTATTTGCATAACCGAACAAAACAAGGCAAAAGAGTCGTGCTCCACGTAGTTGGCGTCAAGAAGGGAAAGTATCATTTCATCATCGGGTTCGTTGGCGTTGAGCTCCTGCAGAGCCTTGGGCTCGATGGCATCTCTATCAATCACCCAGAGCAAAGGAGCCAGGATCTCGTGCATCCCTTGACGATAGCCCAAGTCCGGGTTAAGTTTCGAGTATATGAACAGTATATCAATCATTTTCATCTTAGTCGACGGCTCACGAAAGAAGAAATTTTCCTGTAGACACCGGTCGACATCCTGGGAAATATCCGCCCTCGTCTGCTCGTCATCTCGTAGCGTTTGCCATGGAGACTATAAAAACAACCATCAGAGGACCAGATCTTCACAGCTTGGGATGACGCACCTCTTCATCATCCGCCAGCGGGTCAACTGCCGACTGCAGATCATCCGGGTGTTCAATGTATTTCAGGAAATGGGCTTTCAGCGCGACATAGGCACTTCGAGAATCGGCGATCTTCTGTGGCCATGGCGCCCGGTCGAGATCATCGAAAAGTAGAAATGCCTACGCTCAGGTAAGCACGATGACCAGATCATAATGGCCACGAGCGCATGCCTTCCAGCAAATGGATCTCAATCCCTCGTCGCACAATTTGTCTCCTTGTTCCGACCGAAGTGCTGTCCGTATATCGGCGGTGGTGTTATTGTCGCGAAAGAAGGTATTCCATCGTTGCCTAGCGAATAAGTTAGCTGCATCCGTGCTGCAGACGGGAACCAGTGCATGGATGTACCTTGTCTCCTCAATGCCCCTCATTTCATCGCCAAATGGCAGCTTGCCGGTTGGGTTGCCTTGTGTTGGCTAGCGCTGGGAGATGAGGGGACGACCGACGGGCAGAGACCAGGTGCCGCCCGCGATTTAAGTAACGGACTACTAGCGGCGATCGTCCGGAGGTGGACCGCCTTGGATTTTCCCGCGCTCAGCAGCTTCCCTCCCGTGGTCACTCTTTCTCTTATCTATCTATTGTATACTCCGTCCCTCCGTCCATCATTCCTCATGATCCGCGGGATCTAGCCGGGGTGGGGGATAGGTATAGGACCTGAAGCAATTCAACTCGACTGTCTTTGCTGCCTCCTTCTTTGCAGCATTCGTATTATTAGGGGTAGTTGCATTCACCCCACGCATAACATATTCCTTCATTCTCAGTTCCCGTCATATTGGGTATAGTCTTATCGTTTCTCAATTACACTCACAATGTCCGCAGACCTCTTTGCAGAGTTTGGCATGGGGTCCGCCCCCCCTCAACCTCGGAGAGATTTGCGCCAACACTCTGCTGGGTTCCAATCGTTGTCGTTAATCCCCGACCTGGATGCATTTGAGGATCCTTCCATCCGCTCTTCATCAGATCTAAACAAGACTGCAACAAAGCCGGCTCATGTCGAACCCAGCTGGACCCAGTCAGCTTTTGAAAGGCCGGGTACATCAGGGCTGCCGCAGTATGGACACGGAAATGATAACGTTTTATTTGATGCCACCCTTGAAAGCGTTCCGGACGATGAGAGCGATGACTGGGGCGAGTTTGAGACTGCGGACGTGCCCACCATCAAGGAAACACCACACACTGCGTTACAGCCCCGGGATGCCGTAAAAGGACGCAGGGTATTGCCGACTCCTTCGAAACGCACTACAGTATTCTCGGCGCCCTTGATAGATTCCTTGTCAATCGATGATAATATACCCTCGTCTGGGAGTACGCCCACTGCGGCTCCAAATCGGACGGTTCCTAAAGCACGCCGAAAAGAACCACCAAGTGTCGCATCGCCTCTTCCTACTCAAGAAGATCCATTTGAGGAATGGGGCGACTTCGTCGATGGGCCGTTCATAGCCTCCAGTCAAACAGGCGCCCCAAGTACTCCGGCCCCAACCGCCCAGCGGCCTCGCGGGAATGGAAGAAAAGTCTCCGAAAACATCAAATCCCCTGCAGGATCAACAAGTTCTTTTCAAACAGCCAGTCTTCCTACAATGGCAGCTCAAGTCCGTCCAACGAATATACCTCCGCCATCTGTCTTACTCGAGCTATTCCCTCAACTACTGGATGAACTTCGACAAGAGGCGACCAAAGCAAGAAAGGATCTGCAGCAAAAAGACCAGCTCGAAAACACTGCGAGTCTAATCATCTGCACCTTGAAGACTGCAGCACGAGTTGTTGCCGGTAGAACCCTGCGGTGGAAACGGGACTCCATACTGAGCCAGAGTATGAGAATTGGCCCGGCCCGCGCCGGTAAACCCGGAGGCATGAAACTCAACACAGTAAACAAGAATGAGGACATTAAGGAGCAACAAGAAGCTGTCGACGTGCTCACCATGTGGCGCGACCGTACGGCCCTCTTTAATTCCATCATCCAAGCGGCCGGAAGACATCCAGTCCAGGTCATACCGGAGAATATTCGGGTAATGACATATACTGCCAACCAAGGGGCTCTAAAGGCGTCCCATGCCTGCGCCCTGTGCGGTCTGAAAAGGGATGAAAGATTGCCCCGAATTGACGGGAATGTAGAGGACAGCTTTGGGGAGTGGTGGACGGACCACTGGGGCCATACCGACTGCAGGCAGTTTTGGGAGAAAAACCGAAGTCTGCTCGGCCAACGATAGGGAGAGCTCCGCGTGAGCAAGCCAGAGGGGCAAATTAACAGCTGACATGACTGATCACACCGGAGGCAGAGAATACGATCTTGACCATACTGCATGACACATGTCTACCCGGACTTGATTCATTGCAACGGAGACGGCATGAGGCTGCCAACAATCTACCACTAACTAACCGCTTGATGACTGGGTCATCTGCCAGACCATGGGCCACTGCTGTAAATACCGGTAACATGGGGTCTTCTGAACATATCTTTGTCCATAGGATACTGATTAGACAAATCCAAACACAGTGAATGACATAAAAAGCAGTGCGTTGAATACATGCACGGCCATGATCCAAGCATTTTCAGGACGCGCCTATCTGGATACTGGTATTGGTACGGAGTATGTAGCTCAATTAAGTAGTCTTCAATACTGGCGCTGCTTCAGCACCGTTTTGACGCCATTCACTGGACCGATTCTACTTGCCAAGTAACGCTACTCGTCTGTGTCGTCATTACATTTAAAACTAGCGTGGGTGGCAGGTATCACTGAACAGGTCAGATTACTGTCTGCGTACGGCATTGGCGTTGGCATTTGGCAATCCCGTTGGGTCATCGTGTAGGTTCCCTTTATCGGTTCAACTGGGGCGGGTCGGCGATAACAGTGATAAGAGAGAGACAACACCGGGGCATGCTGACACTGGCAACTACTACTTCGTACTACAGAGTAAATACCTGAAGAATGGCAGCCGAACCGGCCATGGATGTATACTAACGGGGGCGCATGGGGCATTTTAGCGGGCGGAAATGGCGATGCTGAAGGGGAAGGGCTGCGGCGGGCGTCATGAGGCAGGCGCGACTGGGTCGAGTGGCTCCCTAAACCTGGTCCGATGCGGGGTTTCCAGCTCCGGGAGCAGCTGCCCGATTCCCACCTCCTCCACTGATCGAACTCCTTCACTCACTGACTGACTGACTGACTACTCAGCCATTTCCTGTGCCACACTTCCATCCCTCCCCCCTCCCTCCCCTTGGAATCATCCTGCCTTGTCCTCGTGCTCATTGGCCTATCCCTGTTTGTCGTCCTTCCCAAACTCCCTCCTCCACCTGGCAGTGAGCTCGTACGACTGGGCTGCTACTGTCTCCTCATTTGTTCTAGTTGCATCTCCGCTTATTCCCGACCAGTCGAGCCGCAGCTGCTTATCACAACCCCCTCAAATATCTCCCCCTCAGGCTGAGTTTCAAGTTCATCTGCCAGGTTAAACGGAAGGATATCTGATAATAGGATCTGGAAATCCTAGCACTAACCTCTCTCGGTCAATAAACCCCTGATCGTCGGTCACCAGGCAACCGTTGTTTAAGAACACCCTACGAACAAGCCAAGCCTCTTCGTGCCAGGCAATCGGAGACACTGCAGGACTTCTTCGCACCCCGCATCCCTTGTGCTTCTCTTTGATTCTCTATACCGTCGAGAATTTCCGTTATTGTACACCTACAACTTGTGGTATATTCGAAGTTCACGTTCCAGGGCGTCTCCTGTTTAGGTGGCTGTGGGAAGGCAAGCAACGGTCAGGACACAATGGGTTTGGTATACAACGTCTACCTTACTGCCAGCAAGATCTTTGGGTGCAAGAAATGTAAAACCCATCTCGCGGATTATGACGATATTATTAGCCGGGTGGGTGGTTCCCGTCATGATCCCTTTGCCAGCAGCTACTAACCGCGTGTCTTAACGTCTTGCAGAATTTCCGGGGCCAGCATGGGAAAGCCTATCTATTCAATAACGTCGTCAACATCACCCAGTCCGAAGCGGTGGAGCGTAGCATGACCACCGGGAGGCATATCGTCCGTGACATTCACTGCAGGCAGTGCAAAGAGACGGTGGGCTGGAAGTATGACAAGGCCTACGAGACAAGCGAGAAATACAAAGAGGGCAAATTTATTTTGGAAGAAGAACTACTCTGCGTGGTGTGCTAGATGCCTTCATGCGTGCCGTGGTGTCTTCTCTACAGCGATATCAACGTGGCGTGCTGGCTTCACACGCGTATTCCCTGGGCGAGGGTCTACAGGCTATACCTGCGAAGGGCTGGGTCTTATAGTGAGCGTTTTCTCCGTTATAATATCGTGGCGCAATGTGAATGGCGTTAAATGGAGCACCGCTTATTTGATGCAAGGAGTTCACTGCAGATATGGCGCAACCGATGGACTTGTTTTGAATGCATAGCGGAAGCCAAGGTTTCCAAATCACCACCTAAGTGAATTTTGTTTATCTTTAACTCTATAGCATAGAATGGTACTTGTGCGAATAACTGCTAATGCCAAAATTCTGGTCGCGACGAAACTTGCGCTGTGTGACACAGCAAAATTTACGAAGTATACAATGCTAACCGGCCTTACTAAATTCAATGAATATTGAACTAACTGCGTTCCATGCAAACGACGCAAATACCGAGTGTGAGATAAATCAAAGGGACCATGAGTACTAATATCCCTAACGGAACCCTCGGATATCTCTATAAAGCATAGAACTACAGTCTGATACCATTTCATATCTATCAACTAAATACTGACCATCTACAACAACAAAATGGATCAACATATATTCCTAACCTTTTTGTTTAATATTCCGACCAATCCCAAAGATCGGGTGAGATCTGCGTGCGTTGCTGACTGAACCTCAGCATTCCTTTGCAGATATTATTCTGAAAAGCTGAAGGACCTTCAAGTTCCTGTGATGACTGGCTAGTAGTCTCTATCATTGCGATGTGAGCGAATGATCTATCTATATGCTGAGTAGATGTTGCTTGCAAGGTTGGCGGGGTATATGAGTTGTCTTTGTGATGAATCCAGTGCAGGATGTCTTGAAATGGTCGGTTATACTTTATTCAGTGCATGGGATTCAAATGATAAAACCAGATACGAGGTATAGTTTCCTGTAGTGTAGATGTATTCGAGAATAGCTCATGTTCGCGTCGCTTGGGATCAAACAGGGAATTTTAGAGGTTACCCTTGGATATTGGATCAATCTATACCTTAGGAGTAAAGGCAGTAGTCACCCCGGGACCGAATGTAGGATGTCACCACAGGCGATGTTTCCACCTCCATAAGTGTCATACTCTACCGCCAGCTAACCCTGCTTTCAAGAGACCGGTTTCCATATATATTGACTGAAAGTCCCTAACTAGACCAGAAAAGTATTTCCAGGGCACAGGAGTAACTGGAAAGGTGGATAGTTTCCAACGTATATTACAAATTGGCCTAGGGTAATATGACGGGATTTCGGAAATGGAGGTAAATGACAGCTCATCCTCAATGTAGCGCCACATAGAGGAGAGGAGCATCCAAAGTTACTATCTCTAGTGTCCGATGAAAACAAAATATCGACTAATTCTTTGCATCCATTAGACTGTCTGCAGCAATGGTGTTTGGTCTTAGCGCTCCTTCCTATTCGAAGCGCACATTTCCGGACTTGAGGATGTATTCGACAACGTCTAGATGGCCTCTTTGTGCAGCGTATGGCGGTGGTGTTTTGCATTCTGAGTCCTCGGTTTTTATAATATCCTCGTTTGAGTCGATGTATCTGGAAGTCATCTCTGTCAGTCCACCATAGGCAACTGGATGAATGTTCGTAAGTCAACGAGGGACTAGATTGAACCAGTTAGAGACGACATACTTTTTCTCGTCACCCAGAATAGGGTATGACTGCGATATCATAGCCTGACCAGCTGCGAAGGCATTGGATTCTTTGTTGAGGAATTGGAGGATGAAATTTATCAGTTTTTCTGATTGATTTGATTCTGCGAGAGCTGCAGAGGCATGAGACATCCAATGTTGTGCAACATAGTGGTGAAGGGGGTACTCCTGCTGTTGATGGGTGTATTCCCCTGAATCCGATGATCTGCCACTAGAGAAAGAGAGGTAGGTGATGGCCACCTGCGTTATTTCAGTCTCTGCGTTCTGTAGAAGATGGTTTCCGATTAGGAATTCCTTCGTTGTGTAGTGGGCTAAACGGATTATGCCGCTATTCCGATCAAACACCACCAGACCTGCACACAGAGAATCGATAATATCAAGTGGTGGTAGAAAGTCCGGATCCAATTCAGTCTTCCCAAGCTCTGTACCAAGGGCATGTTGGAGCTCCTTTGCAAATAAGGCTCTTCTGCTGTAGGTCAGCCAAGCCAGAGTGCTGCGTGCTATTTGGAAACATTCTTCTTTTTGTGACGTTATCCTCGTGATTGCTTTCTGGTAGGCCATTTCAAGGCTTTTCTGGTCATATGATGGCGAGAAAAGAGCTTTCTTTAGAGCCCCACGACTGGGACAATGTATCAGATGCTCTATATCAAGCTTAGCCAGTAAGAACCTGGCGAAAGAAAATTAGAAACCGAATGCATCTAAGGACGACTTCGCATACATTCCATCTGCACGCTTCACCACCTCATGACGAACGCTTTGTTGGATTTCAGGGTCCGATGAAATCTTCGAGAGGAACCCGGGCAGCTTGCGGTTGATGTACTTTTCGATATCATCTGGGTGGGCTTGGATCTCTTTTGTCAAACATCCTTCAAATCTAGCCATGATCTCCGTGTTGAAACGAGAAGTCGCAAATATATTGACAGGGGCGTTTTCCTGGAGATTGAATAGTTGCGTGAGCAGATTATGCAGCTCGTCTGGTGCTGAAGTGCAGTACTCATCGAGGGCATCAATGGCAATATAGATCATTTCATAAGATTTAGCTGTTCTCAAAATCTCGGACTCAATCTCAGCTGCAGTCGGGATTGTTCTGTCTTGGGAATGTCGTTTGTGTATGTTCTCAATGTTTGCGAGAAGACTTGAACCTTTGACAGCTAGCTGTCTGAGAAGGTTCAGCATGATATCGGCATTCCTTTGTTGATGGCTAGGTTGGTAACTGCAGAAGATATAACAAGCTTGAATCTCGGGGTTTTCCTGTGTATTCTTTCTTAGATGCTCCACCACAATGGCAGATATGCAAGTCTTTCCAGCCCCCGGAATACCAGGGCAGAAAAGCGTTTGATTTGGACGGCTCATCCACTGCGTAAACTCTGGAGATTTCAAAAGCCATAGACCCGTTCCTTCTTCTGTAACTCGCATGTAATCATTCTGACATTTGTCGAAGTCCAAAGGAGTGAGCCATTCGAGAACCTGTCTAGTTTGTCCTGTGATTGCAAAGCTGCTGATTTTTGCAATTTCATCATGAACTGGGTTGGAATTTTAGCCACTATATACATTTCTAGCTCTTAAAAGATGAAACTGACCTTGACTCAGAAGGTCCTTTGCTGCAGGCTCCCCATCAAGGGAATTCATCTGTATATGTTGCATGAGTTCTTTTGCACAGCCTGCCGCTGCTGCTGCCGCAAACCTTTGCCAGCGATCATTCTTATGAGAATCTCCATAATTTGCGATCCCACGAATCACAACACATGGAAAGTTGTTCATCAAGCCAGCTGCTTCCATGTCCAGACACATTGCCCCATGTCTGTCCCGTATTTCATCGCGTACCGCTGCATCTTTGACAACCTTATTGCCAGATGCTATGGTTCCATAATGGATCACTGGATTCTCATCCAGCCGCGGCTCTCGCTCGACGTGTTGAGATGCTTCACACTTGTTGCAGTTCTTAGAACCAGAAACATGACGGTAATTGGCCTGGAAGAGCCGATCGGACGACTGGCCAGGATGGGTGTAGTTTTTCCGCATGAGAGGGTGCTTCACCAACATCTCCTCAACATAATGAGCCACCATATTCTCTCTGCTCTCGTGGAGAGCCTGAAGCTTCCCTAGGGCAGTGCCCAAAGCCTTTGGAGGGCGGTTCAACACTGAAAGGCTCTCGAATTCCCCATCACGTATCTTCCCAAAGTCATAGACAATGACGCCACCACTCCCGGGGCTACTCCCAATGACAACATCACCAAGACGAATGTCCAGGTCATTGTCGATGTCTGGAATTCCTGCGCCAGTTCCGACGAGCAGTCCCACCCGGATCTTTGGAAAAGTAAAGAGCATTTCTTTTGCCGCAGCTACAGCATGAGGAGACCCAAGCTGATGTAGGGGGAGGCAGGCTACCACGGTTTTGAACTTACCCATGGAGCCCAAAAAGTATGAATTCTTATCTGACTCGGCTGGTGCAGACTGTGGTTGTCCGTGCTCCTCGTCTATCATTCCCCTCGCTGCTGCAAACTCGATTGGAAGAGCACAAACCCACCCGACGGTATATTCATCGTTCGCGAAAGGAGATTTCTCAAGAGTCGCCATGATTCCGGCTATAGGGATCGAGGCAAGACGAAGCTGTGTTTGTATTTGTAGAAATTTCTCCAACGCGGAATTAGATATCGAATGCTGTTACCAGTAGGCTCCAGCGACATCATCATCTTGAGATGAGCTATCCGCCGCCGCATTAGGCGCCGATGTTCACACAGCCCCTCCGCAAGGCTCCTGTGAGTCGTTAACGATTTCACGTGACTAACAAGCAAATACTCACAAGCTTGTCATATAGCAAGCAAGTTGTACTTTTTGTACGCCTGCTAATGAAGTTCACTTGGTAGAATGGCAACTTGCCAGAGCTCAATGCACGGGACCCTCTTGATCTCAAGGGGCAGTCAACGGAAGCTATGATGTCAAGGAGGTCAAGACGGATCGTATTCGAGATCTATGCAAGATGCGTAGATTTCATAGGCTGGTTTTAGATATAGGGAGGTGAGGCGTAGGTAGGAAGAAGAAGAAGCCACAAGGGAATGGGGTCAGATGATTGGCAGGCCTGCTTACAGAAGTAAAGCCTCAACATATGGGTTGAAAGCAGTGAGCATCTTTAGTAGTCACAATCAACGCATTATATAGCCAAGTGGTTGAGATATTTCCTGCTAGGTTTGCATATATGAGCTGATGCAAATGGAGGTTGACACTCGGGCGTACGGGACTGGTTAGATTGGTAAAGAAGGCCAATGAAAGATTCTTGTACCTAACGAGAGTGTAAAGCTGTTGAAGAGTATTGAAGCAATCCTCAGGCATGAAGAGAGCAAAACTACTTAGTAACTTTGGAGTCGGGATTCGTAAAGAAATACATCCGCAGCAGAAGGTCTGATTCAACTACCAAAAATACCATTCCACTTTCCAAACCCTCCCTCCAAATCAGATCACCTTCAAAATATTTACTAGTAAGTGATAGCAAGCCACCCGTGAGCCACTACCCCATATTTCTTCACGATGTCCGGTCGCTCCCAACTCGGACCCACCAACCCTCTCCAAGGCCAGAAGAGGGGCAAATAATATCGGCTGGCGGGCGCCGTTTATCGGCCGTGATTTTGGAAATCTCTTCTGCAGAAATCTTTTGCCAAACAATCTCCTGATTTCACTTCGTTGATTACCCTGTTTGTTAAGAGTACTCGGAATATCCACATCAGAATCATGTCTGCGGAAAAGACAATGCGCGCGGTGGTTTTCCGCGGCCCCTACAAGGTGGCTGTTGAGGAACGCCCGGTGCCCCAGATTCAGGATGCGGGGGATATTGTGGTCAAGGTTACCTATACGGCGCTTTGTGGAAGGTAAGGGATTCTTTCCTTTTTGAATTAATTGTTTGGTAATTGTTTGGAATTTTTGTGTTATTATTTTTACTTTTCGAATTTGGCTATTGATATGGGCTGACTTGAAATCGATAGTGACCTTCATGTGTACCGGGGTCTGGAGCCTGCCGGGACCGGCTTTGTGATGGGTCATGAAGTCACGGGTGAAGTGGTGGAGATCGGTGATGCTGTCACGTCGGTCCAGAAGGGGGATGTCGTCGTTAGTGCTTTTACGACGTCTTGGTAGGTAATTGCTTGATGATCGCCGCTGTGATCACCATGGGGCTCCTATACTAATGCATGTGCTCTTATAGCGGCAAGTGCTTTTACTGCAAACAAGGATTCTCTTCGCGCTGCGAGCAGAACATGCTGCTGGGCTGCGACCATCTGGATGGCGCACAGGCTGAATATGTGAGTAGATGTACCTCAACACTCGCTACGTTCTGGGCGAAAATATAACGGGAATGACAATCTGCGCTCAGATCAGAATTCCAAATGCGGATGGATCCGTGGTGAAAGCCCCTGAGGGTGTCGATGAGAAGTTCCTCGTCCTCATGGCTGATATCTTTCCCACTGGCTACTTTGCGGCGCGCAATGCATTCAAGGCCTTCACCAAGGAGCAAATCGCAGAGCAGACGGTCGTCCTCATCGGCTGCGGGCCAGTCGGACTCTGCGCATTGATTAATGCTCTGGAGTACAAGCCCAAGCATCTTCTAGCTGTTGACTCCGTTCCCTCGCGACTTGAACTGGCCAAGTCCCTTGGGGCCGAGCCTTGGAACTTCCAGACTGATCGTGAGGGTTTGGACAAGCGCGTCCTAGAGCTGACGGAGGGACGAGGTGCCGATGCCGTCATTGAGGTTGTGGGGTTGAGCCCGGCACTGAGGACCGGTTTCGATCTGCTGCGGCCGTGGGGCACCATCAGCAGTGTTGGAGTGCACAATGGAGAGGTAAGTGTTCTCCTAGGTATCCGATGAGGGTCTATAATTAACGGGAATATTCCAGATCCCGTGGGATGGATGCGAGGCCTATGGAAAGAACCTCACGGTCCAGATGGGGCGGTGCCCTGTGCGGTCCGTTTCAGAACAGGCGCTGGAAGTCTTGAAGAAAAACCAGCATCTTCTGGGGTATGTAACGAGTGTTCCATTTCCTCGGTTTTGAACTGGCAGAAACTAACCGACGCGCGATAATAGCTTCATGGCCGACAAGATCATGCCCCTTTCGCAGGCGGTTGAGGCGTATGAGATATTCAACGCCATGAAGGTGCAGAAGGTGATTTTTGAAGCGGATAAATAGACTGGGATTGGCATGCTGCTAGGTTCATGAGATAAGACACACGCTTGAGCCTCCAAGACATGCATTGCAGGTAAAGATGCCGTTTTGTTATGTGGTTGTAGTAATCATCACCCAGACTAGACGAGCGTCGGCCTAACCAATACATACAGCAACATCGTGGCCACTCCTGCGACGAGGTAACCAATTGGAAGCCTGTAGTAGGATTGTAGATAAATCAAAATTCCGAGAAGCAGAGAGATTTCCAACCTTCGTGAGAGCAAAAGGTGAAGGCGGGGGAAGAGAGGGAGCAGGCATGGATGGGCCTTGTTGTTGTTCCCGCACGAGAGACCCGAAAAACGAAACTAAGCAACTAAGCCCGAAGGACCAGCCAGCCAGGACTGACTTGACTTGCCTCTGACTTCTTCCCTCGTCTTCTTCCTCTCTTCTTCCTCTCTTCCTCCTCCTCTTCCTCCTCTTCTCTCTTCCACCTTTTCTTCTTGCTCGCTTCCCACCACCACTTCCTCTCCGCTTCCATCCCCTCTCCCTCCCTCCTCCTCATTTCCTCTGCTTCTTCTTCTTCTTCTTCTTCTTCTCCTCCCTCTTCCATTCTTCTTCCTCCTTTCCTCTCTCCCTCTCCCACCTCCTCTCCCTTCCCTTCCCCCCCGTTCCTCATCCTCCCAATTTCCTGGATCCCTCCACCTTTTCCCCCGCCCGCCGAAAACCCCTCTGAATCGCTCCTCTTTCCCCTCTCCATCCGCCCATTCGATTCCTGCTCCCCTCCCTGGATTCCGCAGATTCATCACCATCTCGCCGGATTTTTATCGTCTTTCTTTGCTTTACGATTTTAGGTAAGAAGCCCATTCCCTCAGTTGCGTTCTTGCGCGCCACCACATTGGCTTCGTCCTTGTCCCCGTGTCCTCCCCTTACGGTGACACCCTCGCGAAAACCATCCTCCCTCTTCCGACTGCCAACACTAACCTGTCGGCGAAGTTCGTCCACGAAAACTCGCCTTCCCTCTTACCAGACTTTTTTCACTCCCCGAAGTTCACCGATCCTCACTTTTCCGACATCATGGACGCCACCGATTTGCACGATACCACCATGGTCGATGAGGCTTCCCCCGACGTTGTCAACATGATGGATGATGTTGACATTGAGACGACACCCAAGACCGAGGAAGAGTACGCTCAGTCGATGCTGACTCTCCGCGCCATCGTTTCCTCCAAGGAAGCCGGTATCATCATCGGAAAGTCTGGCAAGAATGTTGCCGACCTGCGTGACGAAACTGGCGTGAAGGCCGGTGTCAGCAAGGTGGTTCCTGGAGTTCACGATCGCGTCTTGACTGTGACCGGCCCTCTGAACGGTACCGCCCGCGCCTATGCTCTGGTGGCCAAGGGCTTGCTCGAAGGCGCCCCGCAGATGGGTATGGGTGGCATTGTGTCTAACAACGGAACCCACCGTAAGTAGCCTCGATACCTTTCAGCAAATTCATGTTCACTCTGATCATCTGGCTGACATTTACTAGCCGTTCGACTTTTGATCTCTCACAACCAGATGGGTACTATCATTGGACGCCAAGGCCTCAAGATCAAGCACATCCAGGACGCCTCGGGTGTGCGCATGGTCGCACAGAAGGAAATGCTTCCCCAGTCTACTGAACGGATTGTCGAAGTGCAAGGAACCCCGGAGGGTATCGAAAAGGCTGTGTGGGAGATCGGCAAGTGCCTCATTGACGACTGGCAGCGCGGCACTGGTACTATTCTGTACAACCCCGCTGTCCGTGCATCCGTTGGCACCAGCAGCACCAGCAGCTCCATGAGCCCAAGTGTTGGCGGCGGCAGCGGCAATGGCTACAACAGCCGCCCTTACAACCGCACCGGTAACGGTGCCGACTTCAGCGACCAGTCCGGTGGCTACGGCAGGCGTTCCAACCCCGATACCAGCAACCGTGGTTACCCGCTTGTCACCGAAGATGGCGATGAAATCCAAACTCAAAACATCAGCATTCCCGCCGACATGGTTGGATGCATCATTGGCCGGGGTGGAAGCAAGATCACGGAGATCCGCAGGAGCTCTGGAGCTCGGATCTCCATTGCCAAGGCTCCCCATGACGAGACGGGCGAGCGTATGTTTACCATTATGGGTAGCGCTCAGGCTAACGAGAAGGCTTTGTACCTTCTGTACGAGAACCTTGAGGCCGAGAAGACCCGCCGCAGCCAGCTCCAGGAGTGAACCACCCGCACAACATCGCGCCCGCCTTGCGCTCTCGAGCATCGATGCGCTCATTCCCCGGAGCCTTTAGGCGCGCGATAGGGCCACCTCCCAGTTGTGCCAATCTTTTTGATTCTTGATGCTGTCGTTTCTCATACTATCATATTCTCTGTTATTCTATAATTCCTCTCGTATGTGGAGCTTCTTGGGCTTTGCAAGAAGCAAGAGATTGCCGAGGCGGACCATGCATGCCTGTTAGATACCAGTACTATCGCCTTGAATGAATCCGCACTCGGAAACCCCGACATCATGTCCTCCAACTGACGCTCCTGACTTCTCCTTTACCCGCCCGTTCCGTTCCGTATCCTAGTCTGCCTTTCCGTCGCCGTTGATTGAAAAGTTGCTCCTCTTACCATCCGAACTCAAACCTACTTTCAAACTGTGAAGTCCTTCAACACTCAATCATTACGTCCGCACTCGCACTGCCTTTATTCCGTTCTACTGATCCTCTTTCCGAGCAACTATCCCCGATACCTGTCACATGAATCATCTAACTCAGTGGGCCTACCTTACTGTCTTCTTATATCTTCATGGTCCCTCATCATCTCCGGGCTTCTCAGGCATGTATACCCGGGACCAGGACTATTGATATCCAAAAAATGAAATGAAACATTAGTGTGATGGAATATAACAGATATTCAAAGTATTCTGCAATTCCCTGACGCCAAGAGATGTAGCCATCCATCCATCCCTACGGAGTACCTCTAGGTGAATAATAAGTCCTTAGACATAACGTCATACCACGATCAGCTGATCATCTAGTGTAATAATCAACTTGATCAGCTGATCCAAATAGACTTCGAACATGAAACTAAATAATCACCTGACGAACAAAGAACCTCCATTCCCCTTTACCACTTACAGATCGATATGTATCAGCTCAGTACTACTCCGTGGATTTATTACGATGCAAGGGACGAACATAATACCCATAAATACTTATCCATCTAGTAACTGCACTATATCTATCTATCGATTAGTAGGTAGTCAGATGGTCGTAAAACTTTCTTTCTAAATGGAAAACTTACTTACCTAGCTATTTATCTGTTTAAGGATCAGATAGCTGAGTATTTTTAGATTGTTCGGTATTTTGTTCTTTGTGTATATGTATAGATCTGTGTATTCATAATAATTCCTACTGTGATGTTCGCTGGGCGGTGGAATTGCGGTAGAAGGATGGGGGGTTATTACGATGGTTTACTGTGCTGGTAGTATAAGTAGATCTGGAACTGAAGGGAAGAAATGCAGAACAGAAATCATGAAGTTTAAGAAGGATTCGTTTTTGACATGGACACAAGGAAAGAAGAAAGAATACTCTCTATGGCCCAATATTTAGGTAGTGATGAGAATATGAGAAAGACTGGGGGAAACAAGCACCGGGACCAGCACTTCATTCATCCGGAAGAAAATATTAGCGGGTGTCATCACCGCAAAGTCGAGTATTTGTACATGAATAAACAAGATGATAAGGAAATAAGGGAGTATCAAGGATAGTAAGAAATGAAAAGGTGAGACAAGACAGACAGATCGTAAGCCCATACCCAACTGGGTCAGTGCTGATGGTGGTGGTCAGAGCCTTCCTGGGGGGTTTCTATTGACACTGGACAAGAAATGATGCGGACAGAGGAAAGAACAAAAGCACAAAGGTCCGTGACAGTCGCTTGAACGGAATGATAAGCTCGTATAATGCATTGGGTCCGTGAATGCATGCATGTTGTTGTTGCAAGTAGTCAGTCAATCAGGTCTTGAATCGGAAGTCCTCGTTATGGGTGATGAAGATGCAGGCGAAAAGCACTCCTCGCACCTCGACATGATGCGCCTCGCAGGCCGCGGGAAAATAATGAAAACACAGGAACGCCGGCTGAACTGGAAATCAAATACCAAGATTGAGTCGCTGCGTTATAGGGTGGGAGGGGGGTCGTAAATGACATGGAGTGGGAAAAACAGACGTAAACAGTCAGTTCATATTGTCATGGAGAGCATTCACTGCCTCCTCAGACACAGCCATTGGCCGCTGCCGGAGGCCAAATCGCCGTGTCCCAAGGCTGTTTGCTCGCATCCGGTTCTGTGCGATCGGCGTGTAGCTCGCAGCCAGTTTGACTGATGGGCAATGATCCTTGTCTGGGAAGGTTCCTGATGAGGGCTGGTGGGCATACCATCATCGGTGGGCCCGTCACCACCGAGAGCGGCCGAGCCAATCCCCGGAGACAACCCGTAGCGACGGGAACCCGCCTGGATGTTGGCGCGGGAGGTTGCAGGAGCAAAACTCGGAGTCAACACGCTCCGGCGAAGCGGAATCGCAGACTGCGAAAGCGTTGGGGTACGAGGTTGAGGCAGTTGCGACGGTTGGGATGGGGTTGAGTATCTGATATTTCGATCCGGAGAAGAGTCCGGGATAGATTGCGACACCGTATACGCATGCGAGATTCGTTGCCGAGGCGAAGCACGGTACGTAGCTGTTGGGTTCGTGATGTCCGTCATGCTCCTGGGGATCGTTCGGACTTGTGGGCTCTGATCCGGGACGGCATCATCATCCGTATGCACTCTCTTGGTCCGTAACGAAGTCGAGAGTCGACTCAACCGTTTTGAAGGCGCCGATGATCCGGGCGATTGTGTCAATTTGCCGTCGGACACCAGCTCGTTGCTCTTGTTGTTGCTCGGAGTGTCTGGAGGGCCGTTTTGCGCCATGCTGGCCCGGCGTGCCTCTAACCGACTGGTGACACGGCTAGTGCTCTGTCGCCTGGACAGGCTCTCTGGTTCTTGATTCGTACTTCGCCGGTATGAAAGTGTGGGGGTGATCGTATCATCGTCATCGTGGTGGCCATTGACCTGCGGCTCATCCGCTGTTTCATCCAAGCCTGAAGATGGCTGCCTGCGAAGCTGCTCATCAGACAGGGCAAGGCAAAGCTCGGTCAAACTGCGACAGACACTGTCGGCCTTGCGCCTGGCTTGTCTGTCCGATGGACTGTATCCATTGATTACAGAGACACCCCCAGATGGGGCCTTGCTGGATCCGAGCAAGCTAGACAGCGCCAGCGCATCGGTAACAGTGACTTCCAGGGCTGCGTAGACCTCGCTACTCAACATTTCCTTTGACTTCGTCAACGCTGACTGCAGGAGTGGATGAACAGGGCTAGGGCTCGTATTTGGGTCGGGCTCGCCCGACGGCAGGCTTGAGTTGCGGCCGCGTTTCGGTGAGGATGACACCGTAGTCACAGTAGTTGTCGCGGTGCGTGGCCTCTCCCCAGAGGCAGAGGATATGGCCTCCTGGGATGACGGCGGAAGCTTCCCGGTCAATTCGAGTTTCTTGATCCGAGATTTGAGGTCCTCCAGCTCATCCCAGACGGTGGACGGTGCGTTCGTGGACAAGGTTGACTCCGTCCCATCCTGGCGGGACCGATCCGATTCATATCGGGCGCGTTCCGTGGCCTCGGAGCTGGAAGGTTGCCGGCTGCTTCGAATGGTAGAGAGTGTGGAATGCCGGTATGCTCGAGACTCGTGCAACGAGCCCCGTCTCTCGAGATGAGATTCAGGGCTGTAGGGAGATGGTTCTGGGCTGGTGCGACTCAATCGGCTTCGGGGTAGGCCAATGGTAGACCTGGAACCAGAAGCATACGCTAGAGTGGAGGAGCGACCATGATCGTCCAGTGGGTGGGCGGATGCTGAGTAAGAATATGGTACAGAGGAGTGAGGGGTGGATGGGGAATCGTTCTGTGAATGCAAGGGGCTGTCGTAGGTATTCAAGCGAAGTTGCTCGGGGGAAGAAGGGGTTTGTTCAGTCACACGGGAGGTGGAAGAACGGAGCCCACTGCCGGACATTCTGAATCGCGACTGTAAGTTTTCGCACACGCCTGGTCAGCTCACCGGATGACAATTATTGACAGGTAGAACAGGTCTTGTGTCACTTACGCGCCGGAGTTCGGACCGCCCGAGAGACTCGCGACGGCCAGAGTCCGATCTCGCGATGTTCAAGAAGACATCTTCATTCTTGGATCGGAAGTCGTCAGCGACTGGGGTTCTGTTGCCGTCGCCCTGACCGTAGCGGTCCAGTCCGTTCACGGCGCGATTGCGCTCGTCGGCCAGCGTTCTCCCTTGGGCGTAGGTCACGGTGGACGATGGCATGGTCCTGTTCACGTCCGGAATCGTCTGCTGAGCATAAAGGGACGACTTTCGACGCTTCGTTGCATTGGGACTCAACACGCGGGCGGTTGAGTGGGCGTCCAGGGGCAGCGCGGCGTCGCTATCCTTTTCTAGGGCCCGGCGCGGCGACGGAGGTTGCGAATCCAAGACGGTCTGGTCGCGCAGGTGGGACAGATGAAAATTGGGGACGGACCGCCGGGGGCTGTCATACAAGAATGAGCGCTGGGGAGTAGGGGTCGGGTCTGGATCCGCGGGCGTGTCGTCGCTGTTCAGGACGGAGGAGCTGAGGTGCGACGTCAGGGCTCGTTTGCGCAGGGGATACTGATATTCGAAGCTGAAGCGACTCTGGGGCAGGCGAGGGACGGGCGAGATGGCGGACGCGGAGGGGAGATGCGACGCAACGATGGTGGAGGCGGAGGAGGGCGAAGGCGAGGGAATTGTTGTGATTGTTGTTGGTGCTGAAGGGGAGTCGCTGGAGCCGGCGGATGGGTTTGTTAGCGCGGCTGCTCTGCCCGCGTCACGGGGATCGTCCGCCCTCAGCATCGTTGCGGTCCCCTCGGAACTACGAGGGCTCAGTGTGCCCCCTCGGGATCGCTGCTGGGCTCGCGGGGTTTCGGGTGGAGGACTGGCCCGTCGTCGGGGTCGTGTGGACGAAGATTCGGTCAAGATAGCCCCCGGAGTCGCTCCAGCGCTGATGGTGAGGGTGCGGGCACGATTCACAATCGAACGGCGACACAGGGAAGACGACGGGTCCTCGAGTGATACATGGATGGGCGGATTCACCGCGGATTCGGTTTTTCGCCGGCGTCGAGGAGTGAAAC